TGATAAAATGATTTTTAAAATTTTTAATCCATTTCCGAATTTAATGTGAAAATGTTCATCAAATGCCAACCGCTGTTTTGAAAGAAGAAACTCGTGCGGAAATTGATGCTGTATAAACTCATTAAAATTTACCAGGGATTTATTTTGATATGCAGAAACATTTTTTTGAAAAAATATTCAAAGCTTGGATATATTTTGTGCTTTATAAATTGGCATTTAAGTAAAAATCAATACTTTCAAATGCTGTTGTTAATATTGATCAGATAAAGTCATTCGATAGAAGTAAAACGTTCCTAATGCTGCTATTAAGCATACATATCAGGAACATAGCAAGGAGGTCTATTTATATTAATTTTGAAGGAAAAATCTGTATAAATTCAGCTTCCTGACTACGCCCTTTTTATAAGCAGTTTCATTTACATTTTATGTCCTGAATTGAACACTCCTCCAACATTATAGCTTAATCTAATGATAATCAATAGATTTTTGTCGACCTAATATGAGCAATAATCTCTTATACCAATAAATACAATTCGGTGTCCTTGAAAATTGTCTTAGAGATATCAAGAGTCAGCAGTAAGCAAGCAAAATTCAAGGAATTGTTTTTTCAAATTTATAAATGATCCCATTAAGGGAAAAACTCGTCAAAACATTTACAAGAAAAACAGTTCCAAGTACTGAAATAATTTAATTCGATACTGATAATGAAACCGCTCATGCAAAAAATAAGAGGAAGGAAAGAAAGTTCAAAACTTTGAATTATAGGCATTTTCCAAACTTTTGAATTAATTATAGTCCGACTCTCACCTAATAAGTATTCAGAATCTTCAAATTCTCAACAACTGTCATTGAAATTGGAAACTTAATTTAAATTTTGAGTAGAAGGTATCTGAAAATTTCAATAAAGCTGAAAACGATTGATCGCGTCCTTTTTTTCACATTACCATATCAACAAACATCAATGAAAGAAGGTCCTTACGTCTTACATCGCCTTCTGAAAAAAGGTCAAGCATCATGAAATATATAATCAGGAAGGAAAAAGAGAAAACAAGTCAACAGTTTATACAAATTCATGAAAATCACAAAAAGGTTGTCATTAAAATGAGTTTGATATTGTTTTCAAGTTACCCTCTCTCATTTATTACTTATATCATCCACTTGAATACTCACTCCATGAATTTCAATTTTCTCCGTCTCCTTAAATAATCTTAACCAATAATGTCTCAATATGATGACAAAATAGACAGTAGATTTACCACTAAACAACAAGTTTATAAAATAAAAAAAGAAGGGGATGTTTTTGAGCATCATTGAGTACCAAAAGCATTTGCCTTCGATTCAATCAAGCTATTTGAGTAGTCCTACAATAAATAAAATGAATGATTTTGTTGAGAGTTTTTTACTCTACGTTACACTTGATCCTTATTCTCTGACCCTGTAAATACGCTCATGAATCTGACAAAATAATTATCTATAAGGCTCAAAAAAGGAGCGATAAACTGATGGTGGCAAAGTATTATGAACCCCAAAAATGATTATATACTTTTTTATTTCAGTCACTCTTCTTAATTTTCAGAATCTATTAAGCAAGGGGGGCAACAACTTTGTGTAAAAAAATTATAATAATAATTCCCAGATTAGCTGTTCTTAATACTTTTTTAAATTTAGGAATCTTTCAAGACAATAACCGACATTTCTCACAAAGCTGTTTTCACCCTGTTTTCAAGTAAATGAGAGGAAACAAGAAAGCTGAAGAAACAAAATCTGTAAATAAGCATGACGCAAGATGTGGGACTGTTGAGGGGGTACGTACCATAAATGATGTTAAGTACTAAACTGAACTGATGGGATGGAGAGTTTAATGGAAAAGGGTGAGGTAATAATGTAAAGATGTGCCTCATATAACATCAAAATAAATCGTGCGGTTTCGGTTTTAATTTTAAAGGAAGGCCCAAACTTTTCTTTACTTTTACTTAGCATAAAAGTATTAAAATGTTTGTCCTTACTCTCTCCAATGTCTTGCCTTTTATGAAACATTTTTCGTAAAATTTAGGACTTATTAAGTTTCCGTTCTGGACAATTTCCATAAAATTTCTCTTCCTCCTTAACATTTTTTATTATTTTTTTCTAAAAAGGAAGAAGATGAAATTTAATTCCTTTTATGTTTGTATCTTTTATGTTATTGACATTTTGTTGCTCCTTTAGTTTTTCTTCCTCATTCCATATACATTTCAAAAAAGTATAGCATATGAATGAAATGTAAAGTGTCTAAAGGAAAAATTTCAGTTTCTATGAAGCGTTGGAGTGGAAATGGCAAAAGCACCAAAACCGCAAATCAATTTTTATGCCTGGCATCTGGTTCAACATATATTTAGACATACATGTGCCATTTTCTTATTTTTATTTTTCGCATTTCTTCTAAGATGAATGGAGGGAATTAAAAGCATTCAGAAAAAAAAATATTTAAAAAGTTTAAAAGAAGCTTTTTCATATGAGCATGAAAAACATCTTCATAAGTCGTTGTCAAATATTTTTGGGCTTATACGGTAGACTGACATGTCTTGATGTCTATATTTATGAATAAAAAGAAGCATAAAAATTTTGTTTTGAAGCTTTTTCCGATTACTTTTTTCATCTTTTCATAGCACATCATGTCATGTAGCGATATAAAATGTGATACAATAACTACCGTAGCGTGCTGAGTCTCTCGTCTCGTTATATGCTCAACGATTATAGTTATTCAATTGAAAGAAAATTGAAAAAATGGATGAAGGGGATTTTTCAATTTTATTTTATGGAAATGATGCCCAAAAAAAGGCGCTCTGTTATTTGTTTTGTCTTATTGGCTAGCCAAGCATAATGTTGAGTAATTTATGAGTATTCATAATGCTGACTTTAATGTTAATGATCAAAGCGAAGTCTCTTTTTTTTTTATTAAAAAACCGTCGGTCACTGAAATTAGCATGATATTTTGGATATGCAATGTAGGCAGCCTTTAATAAAAAATGATTAAATATTCATTTTATAACACTGGTGCGTAGTGAAATTAAAAAGACTCTTTATCAGCGAACATGCATACCAAACATCCACCCACATGGACTTATTTACTTGCTTGTTGTTCAAGATTTTCATACTTTGGGGCATAAATTCTGTGTGTTGTGTCTGCGTTGTCAAGGAGGTGGATTTTATATCAGGTATTTTCCTAAAAGTTAACCACTCATACATTTATTCACGTTTAAATTTTTATTTTATATACGAACAAGATATAACCAGCTATAACATGAGGGATCAAATTTTACGGAAAATAAATCAATAATAAAAGATGGTGAGGAAAAGGTTGAAGAATTTAATGGTAAATAATGACATAAAACATAACTTTTTCTTTAACAAGGATTTTTCTTAAACATTTCCTTCTTATTTTATTATAACAGCAATGAGACATAAATTTCATGCTTCATATATTTTAATCATAATATAAAAAAATTAAATTATTTTATACAAAATAACATGAACTTTAAAACTTAAACAATTTTTCCATCCGTCCGCAAAAGCAATTAAGCTTATAGTATGAAAAATAAATTACAGTGCAAAACCTTTGTGAAATTATGTGTAAAAATTTCTGTGTTTTTCTCAATTTTTTTCCGCATGATTTAATCATGGATACGATTAAATTTAAATTTTATGGACCATCAAGAATTTATGCTTGATTCCATCAGCTGAAGTGTAAACTTTCTCTTCTGTTCTGCACAATGTTTCATTAAAGAATCAAAATCAATTAAATTGTTCTTGAGAGATTCTCTTCCACGACTACATGTGGTAATGTCTCGATCGACAAACTTTTTTTTTCTGTTTCATTGAGAGAGGGATAAAGTTTTTTTAACATCAAAGGTTATGCAGCAATATCAATATAGTGACACGAAGAAACAAAAAAAAATAACTTTAATTAATGAAAATTACAAACTCAATAAAATATAATTAACGTTCATGTTAGAAACAATTTTCAATATTATATATAATTTTTTACTTCTTATGATACTAAACTATAATAATAAAATATAATAAACACAATCATGCTGCATGACTATATAATTTTATCATAATGCCAACTTTTTCTTTCTCCTTCATTCTTCCCACACCCTCGCTTATTCTCAATTTCTTAAATAATAATATTTTTTTTCCTATCAACTTGTGGCAGTCGAATGAGTCTGGAAAAAGTTTCATGTTATTTTTGTATTCCTTCAAAAAAAAAAAATAAGTGAGTGAATGGAGTTATAGAAATAATATGAAAAATATTTGCTACTAGGCCTCGTAACCAACATCATTTAAGCGCATTTACCTGTAGTTTTTTTTTAATACTACCAGGAAATATAAATCTGTTGATGCTTTTCACTTGATTTAATTGGTTCTGATTAATCCGATAACTTTGGATGGAAGATTCCATTATAAAATTTATTTTCGAACAGAATTACTATAGAAATGTCTATTTTGATTATTTTGAGGATAGCTAGCAACCAAAAGGAAATGCAGTGCTTCTCAATGTCTGTTCTGAGGCAATAATCAAAATTTTTAAAGAACATTTTAATTTTTCCTGAAAATCTTTTATTTTAAAGGACAATTAAATGTCAGCTAATGTGCCGCAAGTCAAAAATGTTTGACGAACAATGACCAAAAGATTTATTTCAGTACCTGCCTGTTTTTTTTTCAGCATTGCGAATTTTTTTTATCCAATTTATTCGTTAATATACGCCCGAAGTATACAAGAAAGTCAGCCTAGTCACAAATTAAAGAGCTTTTTGCCAGAAAAAAATGAGCAAGAATGAAGGAACGGAATAAAAAATTATGAAGTCGATGAAAAACTTTTCAAATTTAATAAAGCAGCAGAGGCATCAAGAAAAGAAACTTTGATAAAAGAATTTATTTTTCCTTTCACAATTTTTTTAACCTTTCGTTTTGGCTTTCTTATGCCTTTCTCCTTCTTATGTATATTTTATTTTTTTTCTTTACCATGGTCTCCAATGGCGTTCGGAAGATGATGAAAAAATTGATTGGTGCGTTGATGTCGAGATTGATGAAACATTTTCATTAAATTGTCTCATCTTATTGACAATGAAATTCTCTTTATCACTAACATTATCACTGCTATTAGTGCTTGTGCTTAAATTTCGTTGATGTACATTAAATCGGTTGTAGTACCATAATGGTGATGACAGTAATGATCTCTCATCACTGATGATTTGTTGACGATTACTTTTTTCATTTAAATTATTCATTTGATTGGATATGTCGCGAAATGCTTCACATTTTATCGCCTTTACTGTTTCCATTGTAATATTTCGTTCCAACGATTTTTCCATCAATTTTGATGATGACTTTTCAGTCGATAACTTGTCATGTAACATTTCAATATAGCGTACACTCATCTCGAGAATATCAGCTTTTTCTAACTTTGTGGGACGTGATCCTTGAGTATGTTTCCAAATTGTGTTGCGCAATAAAATTTCTTTCAATTGTTCAAGCGATGTATTAATACGGGCTCGTCGTAACTTTTCAATTTTTGGCTTACGAACTTTTCTCTCAAGCGACTTGTTGCATACCGATATGCTTGATGTAGATGATGATATGGAAGACGACATACTTGTTCCGTTTCCTTAGTTGTGGCACTTGTGTGTTTGTAAAAATGGCACTCTACACTTCCTATGTTTGGAATCTCTATCGTTCAGTCAAAGGTCAAAACTCGTATTAAACATTCAACATAACAAAATACAACAAATAAAACTGTGTGACTAAATAAATATATATTTTTTCTAGTTCCTTTATTTTCATAGATGTTAACACTTTAACAATCAACAACAAACTGAATTTAAGCTATAGTGTACCGTAAAGAAATACCAAAAATAAGACCCTCAATGATCTTAAATTACCTCAAAGAATCTTTCTCCTTTTTTCTTCTCCAATCCACTCCACTCCATTGTTGTCAGAACGTCGGGATTCCTTCTTTTTTTTCACAGTACATACTTATTCACATACAAGCATATAGCAACAATCATAAAAGGAATGAGAATTGAAATGAAAAGAACAGCCATATATAGGAATGAAAAAAAAAATCCAATCCTTTCTCACTTTTTTGCTTATTATCCTTTTCTTATTCCTCTTCTTTCACATACACAAACATACATGCATGCAGACAATTCACTTAAATGTTGATGATACTTTGTGTATGTAGATAAACATATAGAATAACATGAATAAATAAATATATCGTTTAGTAAATGCCGCAAAAAACAGCAACAGAAAATATTCAAGTCAGGGTTGTCTAATGGCTGTTGAGAAAATGGCTAAGCTTTTGAAATTTCGCTAGGCAAATATTGATTGTGATCCAGAGGTGCGCTAGGACGATTCGCAGCTAATGAGAGTTTAACGAGTGAGGATGCGCCAAACCACTGCACTCAAACCTAGACCTACAATTTAAAGTGGGATCCGAACCACTCCTGTGAAGACATTTCTGCCTGTAGCCTTCCAAAGGAAGGCTGTGAGCCTCGACTAGATGCCAAATGTAATTTATGGTTCAGACGAGAAGTTATCTTAGCAGCTAGAATCCTCGGTTCTACAATCTAAGACTGATTAACAGAAGAAGACTAGCAACCCTGATGCTCACATTATCATTGTTGTTGGATAAAAATGGAATTTATGTCTTTCTTTATGCTATTTACCTTATAAATGATAAATCTCATAGACGAGAGGAAAAGAAAAGGAAAGATAATGATTGTCGAGTGAGAAAAAATAGGGAGTTATAATAACTCTTGAATAAGTAAATGAAAATCAGATGAGAATCAGGAATTATGAGATATTTGATGAAAATAAATGCAGAGGATCATGGATTGTGATACGATATGAAATATCAAATATATATTCTGTGCCGTAATGCTATTGTGTTATTTATTAACATATAAAGCTATCAGAAATACAATGTATGTTGAATAAAGCAAAAAGCTATTGCTGGAAAACGGATTATTGTTGTCTTTTATTGAAAAATGCATATGATAGATAGGGTAAACCATGTTGAAATTTATGTGTTTTTGCACATGAAGATTTGATTTGCAAATAAGTTGCTAATGACTGATCATGTAAATTTGGTAATGGGCTCAAAAGATCAATAATTGTGGGAATTTTCAGTTAATAATGTTTTTTCAAGGTTATACTGCATATGGGAAGAGATTTTTGACTTTTTCGATCAAATGTTGAAATTTGTGCGGAAAATTTTAAAATTTGTGCGAGAAAATGTTGAAATTTGTGCGTTTTTTTAATAGCAATCTTTGACATAATTGCAATTCTTAAATGTAAACAAACATATTTTTTATTTATATTTGGAACAGAAATTGATATTTTGCTGTGGGAACTCCTTTGAATAAAATTTAAATGAAATTAAGAATATAAAGCTGAATTGTTTCAAACCTTTTCCTCAAGAAATAATGCAAGATTCAAGATTTAACTCAATTTGAGCTGGCTGAGTTTACAACCGTCAAAGAAACATCCATTAAATCAGCAATTCCTCGATTTTTGTGTAAATTTTATGCAGCATAGAGTTTTAGCAATAAAAAGATGAAAAATAGGAAATCAAAATGTTTTTATTTATAGATCTGAAATTGGACACTTAACAGGATATACTTTTTGAATATATGGATCTGTATGGATCCTTGAAGTCTTTTGCATTTTTGTTTTATGTTTTTTTTAAAATTTTAAATGACCCACGTTTTTAATTTTTATCAGCTGTTATCAGTTTTTGACTTTCAGTAGTTCCATTTATGCTATTCTTCATGAAATCCTGTAAAAACATGAATTTCATACGTAAATAATATTTGTTGTTGACAAAAATTCCCATCGCTTTCTACGACAAAAAACCCACAAATTTCAAAATTTGTAAAAAAAATTCGCACAAATTTTAACATTTACAATCAAGAAATTTTAAAATCAATTTTTAAAGCACTTCCAATGATTTTTATAACTTGAATTTTTTTGAAACATTATAGCAATTATCAAATTTTATATTTAAACTGTGATTTGATTACAAGCAGAACTGGTTATGTCCAAATATTTTAAAATATGAAAATCACAATTTTGTATGGGATTTTGAATTTTTAAAATTTAAAGCTGCTCCAAGCTTCGAGACTGTCCAAAATGATGTAGAAATGTTTGTACAACTGTTTTACACAGAACTGCAAACAAAACTTTGGTTTAAATGGCTTATTTGGGCTAATTTCTTTTTTATTTGAGCGCACAAAATTCAACATTGCACAAATTTCAACATGGTTTACCCTATAAATCTAAAAGAGAAAATCAAATAACATTATATGAAGCTAAAGCTTTAAGCTCTCTCATACTCTTTTTTTGATAATGATATACACATACATATCCTGTAATAAATGTATATGCTGCCATCATTTTCTGCGTGTCGTGCCTCAATCGTATGTAATTTACGTTTAACGTGCGACGCGTGTGATTTTAGTGGAAGATAAAAGCGATGAAAGTTAAATAAAAAGCCCGTGAATATTTTTTTAGTCATTTATATAACAAAAGCACGTACCATGCAGATGCGACGTATATATACATATATATGGGAATATTATGTTCACATCTCTTTCATTAACACAACATAATCAACAAAACATTCTGTAACAGTCATAAATGATTATTTTGAGCCTTCATATACCTTTTTACTCACTTACTTACTCACTCATTCCGCTTATATCCTGTCTGCGATCCTAATGACGATATGCTGTCATTTTGTAGTCATCATCATCGTCGTCCCTTTTATCATTTCAGCAAATAATAAAATCCGTTTATGACAACTCTTTTAAAAAGAAATCCTCGTTAAAATGCTCAATCAAATGACTTTATGTGAGTGAATACGAATGAGAATGTTTGTACCAGTTTGTACACAGAAGACGAGGGAAACAATGAAAAAAAAATCCATTTCATCCCACCAGCAGTTATTACGTATGCTAAATTTGGCTTTGGAAAAATATGTTGATTCATCAGCATTTTTCCAATTCCAATTCAATTTTTTTTCCATTCCTTCTTCCCCCCTTGCCATCCTCGAATCGCAGATCATAGAGAAGAAATTTATTTCTCTTACCGATAATCCATTCTACTTCCTACTTCTTTCTTTCTCTCATCTCTAACTGCTCATCTTTGATACCTTTCAATTGACTGTAACATTCAAATTGTAATGCTGTTATGTGGTATGTGGTATGAAATTGAAATTGATTGGTGAGGAAAATGTAACAGAAGATTGAGAGCAGTGTTGATATCTTGCTGTGGATCAGATTAAATTTAATTCAGCTTTGTCTATGATGTTGATGTTTCTTAGAGAAAGCAATCATGTCTGAGGTTTAATATTTTCAGTCATGTCTAAATCTACAGATTCGTATTGTCTAGTGCTCTTCAAAAATTTTGATCTTGGCATGGTCATCAGATTCTAGAAAACTAGACTCCAGAAGTGTAGATTCTATATAGTGCCTTGATACTTATCTCTAGTAATCATGACCATTTAAATGAAGGTTTAATCTAGTCTATATGAATTTAGGCTTTGCAAAAAGCTTGTTTAAAACTTAATTTTTGAATTCCAGTTCCTGCGGTATTTCTAGGATTAGACTTTAACTGCCTCAGCTTTGAAATTGATGTAAACTTAGTAGATGTCTTTCTTCTGAGTCTCTTCTAGACATCAAATTTACCAACACTGAAGGAGAGCATCCCAAATAGCTGAACATCGAAGACGAGAAAAAGCTATTTTTAAAGTTTTACAGCCATCAATATTCCTTCAAATATCAATGATGCTTTCATTTGTTACAGAAGAAAAATTGAGGTAGGAATTATTTTCGCTTTTGTCGTGTATAATATGAAGGTAGCTTTCATATCAACAAGTATCATTTCCATGACATGTTCGGAAGTTGATTTACATCGTTCTTTTTGTCGACTGCCTAATTTTCGTTTGCTTCTAGGTATGAATTTGAAAATTTTATTATAGTAGGCTTTTTGACTTGATTTCTTTAAATATTTGACAAATTAATTCCTGCTTATTCGTTATGTATACACACGCATGGCGTGTTCTCCTTTTTGTCATGCTTCAATTATAATAATTAATTAATTTTCACTCATCAAATATTCATCCAATGATCCGTAATTCATTTTTTTTTCAAACAAGTGGAAATTTTGAGCACCTGATGATTTTGTTGGTGTTATAGGCATATTATATAACATGATAAGAAATTTCAATCGATATTGACTAATTATGGTAAATATTTTTTTCCAAAAATAATCTCCATTAATTCTTTTTAATCACTCATTATGTTAATAACATTTTCAGTCATTTCGCGAGATTTAATCACTGTAAGTATATTATTGATTTTAAAAATATGTTTATGGCAATTAATTTCATTTTCATCGGCTTGCTTCTTCTCATCTTGTCAGAATGTATCTACAGTACTCAAGGGAACAGGCTCCGAACAGAAAAATAAATTATATCATCCAAAATGTCAAGAACAAAACAATTGTATGTGAGTTTCTCTTTTTTTTTTGTGTTTCTTCAAAATGTTTATTTAGGAATAAAAAAAGTAAATGCAATCAAATTTTTTGACATTCCTACGTACTTGTCAAGTAAGAGTTTTCAAATGAATTACATAATGGAATATAAAAACCTTTTTCGTAAAAAAAAAATTCTATCAAATTTGTCGTTGAAAGCATTAGTTGGAAAAATAGAATTTTGACTTGTTTGTGCTTTCACGAATTTATGTTGTTAAATTTCCTAAAGCATGAGGACTCGCTTGTTGAGCATCGTGTTTTAACTGCAAATAAATATAAAGAAGAAATTATTTTAGAACTGTTTAGGATTGGAAATGAAATTTGATAAAATTAAGTTAGGACTTGTTTGGCTAGTGATCCGTAAAAAATTAAGGCAAACAAAATATAAACTTTCTGTAGATTTGAATTCAGTGAAATGCTTGTTTATATAATGTTGGAAGTTGCTTGTGAATAGCGCATAATAAAACAATCTCTGTCTGACAGTCTCTGACCAAAGGATGTTCAGTGCCTTTGACTTCTGACATCCAGTGATTAGTAGCCCGAAGATTGTATCTCGATAGAACATTTGGAAAATAATTATTTTGCGGATAGGATGTAACTTAAAAGTCTAAAGACCCGCTTGACCTAAGGCAGCTACTCCACTGCTCAGGCCTGCATCATTGCATATTTGAATGATCCTGTGTTACATAAAAAAAAATCAAACTAAAATTTGATCGCTAGGATACATTATGTCAATGCAAATAGATTCTAATCGAATGCTTGATTCTATTGAACATGTTTATCCAAATATTGGATGTTGACTTTAATGTTTAATTGCTTCAACACAGAAAACTTTTAGTGTTATTCAGCATAGAACAAAATTGACCTAATCTGCTTTTAAAGAAGTTCTGCTTATTTATTCATGTAAACATCTGATTACTTGTCTCATCTTTTATCTCTCAAAGAGCTTTTAATCATGCTGAATAAATGATAAGTATACTTTCAAATATCCATTCGTTGCTTATTTCCTCTCCTTTCCATTACATGCTTTTGTGAATTGCGGAAAAATATTAATTAATTTAGTAAAAAACCAAATCCATGAAAATTTAGCTGAGAGATTTAATATTTTGATGATGTATGCTCGATGTAATAAAACAAAAATGGCAGCAGTGGCTTAACGAATGAGAACAAGTGCGGATTTGTTGGAAGGAAGAAAAAAAAATTCAATTATATTTAAAAGCAATCCATGAAACTCAGGAAAGGTAGTGAGAATAGCTTTTTTCGTATATGTGTGTTTATGTATAATAGGTAAGAATGATAATAGCACATGTGAAAGTAATTTTCATGGGAATGAAAAAGAGATAAGAAGGAAATGTTGATATGAATGGGAATTAGCTCTTTTGGCGTTGATGAAATTAGAAACATGTTCATAGCTTAAAAATGAGGTTTACATGAAAATATGAAATTCAATTTCCATTCTTTCTATTTTATTATATCCTACTAAGTCGTTATGAATACTAGGGAAATAAAGTTCATTTAAAAACACCTCCATTGAGACTATTCATACGTTGAGGGCTTCATAAACATCAATTTATTTATTTTCATTGTCGATAAGAGTTCAATGAACGAATCAACAGTTCATCATCACATTCATCGGCATGTCAATCAATGCATGGTAGTTGAGCAGAAATTCATTTCAATAATAAGAAAATAATACAATTAAAGCCGGAAGCATAATTTCATCCCTTTTTTTTCTGTATTGAAATCTACGTGTGGATCTCCCTCATTCACGTTGATGTTGTTGATGATGATTTTATCATCGTTTCGTGTCGTGTGAAAAGAGGTAACTGAGAACGAGAGAAATATTCATTACAGATTTCCTTTTCATAAAATTATCGCTATAAAGTGAAAACTTTTTTTTTCTTCCTTTCTCCTTCGTGTATCCTTACTTTAAAGCATTGCATAATTAACTTCACTTTGTCTTGGGAATGTTTGAATACTCTAAAAGTTGTATAATTGGGAAGGATTTCAATAATTAAGACAAACTGGGAACTTGATCTCTTTTGAGAAAGAACATTGCTGGCAAATCCCTAAATGGGATTTTATTTTAGTATTGTGGACTCGCATTGACCTAGCATTCAGTGACATTCGTACATCCTACATCTTAGGAAAAAGGACATTACATTGATGATTTAATTTGATGAATGGTTATTGACCAGATTCTTGTTATGTCTCACAGATAATTTGAAAGTGCGCTTTATTAAAAGACAAAAGTATGAACTTGCAACTTTCTATATTCACTCAGTTCAACTTAGTTTAAATAAATGGTAGATGAAAAGTGAACATCACGTCGCCCTAATTCCGATGTTCATTTAACATTTCCGTGCATATTCATACCTTCGTATACATTTTTTTAAAGAGAAAAAGAAGGAAAAGAAGAAATATTAAAAGGAACATTTTCATCAGCTACACCACCTTTATGTAGTTTTAAATTAACAGTCGTCGTCAACGTTGACATGAATGAAGACAAGAACGAGAAATGAAATGATAATTTTGCGCCTTTTTAAGAGAGCATAAGAGAGAAAATATTACCTTTGCATGACATTTAAATAAATATCATTTTGGCGTGTTTCCCATTCCATCCTTCCCATCCATACATTTCTATACGATCCTAAATATATAATAAAATTATATTTGAAAAATACTCGTAACAAGAGAAAGGAAGCTCGATGATATCAACAAGTATAATTTACATTTCAATATTCACAGGAAATTGCTGGGAACTTTATGTTACTTAAAAGAGGTCGCCCTTTATCATATTTCATACATTTCGTCAACGTATGTTCATTTAAATAAAATCAAATTAAAATTATGTGGCATTGAATTGACATGAAGACGTTATTCAGCATGAGTATTAGGGATATTGCCATTGACAGTGTGAATTGAGACAGACAGTAGACTGTTCCGCTCTCATTTGAGTTGAACAAATTGAAAGGATTTGTGGAGTAAATAAATGAAGCATGAACTCGTGCTTAGATGACAAGACAGAAACATGTACAAAGTGTAAAGATTTATCATCCCCAAATAACTTACCTGTTCATGTACAACTTAATCCGACGACATGCTTACTAATTCCATCTTCTTTTGGAATTCCTCTTTGAATTTTTTCAATGCCACTTTCCGTGGCTTCTTTCGACTTCCCCAATTCTTCTTGATAAGGTTTTTACGCTTTTTAATGAGCGACTTATTGATATTAAAACCATCACAAACATTTATTGTACGCTTTGTTGCACGTCCTAAGTCTTTTCTAAATGTCTCTTCCTCTAGCGACTCGTCTTTCTCGAAAATTGTTTCCAGTAATGTAGGCTTTACTTTTACATTCTTATTGATATTGAGATAAAATTTCTTGACATCCTTCTCAGTCTTAAATTCTATAGTACTTGAGCTTAGTTTTCTTTTCTTAATCACTTTATTATTTATGGAATGCATAGCGTCTTCTGATTTACTTCTTTTACGCCGAAGCGTTCGCTCATTTCCTTCGCTAGCCTGCATTAAATCCTCCAGCTCATCTGGTGATCTTTGGACAATTATTGTATCTAGTACTTCCTGTGATATTTCGAGATTTAAGTCTTCCATTTTTCTCTCTATTATCGGCGTTTGAATCATCTGCTAAGAAGTTAATACAGCAATGTTTATGTTCCGGATCATGTTATAGTATATATTTTACTTACCATTTGAACATTAAATGAGATTTTTATTTAACTTAGTTCATTAACTGTTATTATGAGCATAAATTTATTTGTTTTATAAATTATCATTAAAATTTTAATACATCTAATACAATCATTAACTTGTACTAATTATAAACATGATTAAGCTAAATTAGGTATCGTAGTATTTGTATAATACTTATTTTAATACGATTATTTTACCTAAATAAGTTTCTTTCAAAATCAAAACAACTTTTTTCGAAATAAACTAGGCTTGGACACTACTTAATGGATTTATGTCCTCAATATAAATTCTACTGATCAGGAAATTCGACTAAGATTGGAAAATATTATGCTGGAATCAATTTCAACTACTTGGAACCAATTTGGCATCAAATGTCCCATCGCACAATGATTCAGATTTGAAAAAAATGTTCAAATAATCCTTGTGCATAATATTTTTCAGACACATTGAAGTAATGAAATTTTTTATTGATATTCTCTAGTTTAGGACTTTTAATGCCTTTAATCTTACTTGATTATTGATTCCTCAAAATATTAAGTCATGAAATTGAGGATAAATAAGTTTTTTTTTACAAATTTCACAAATGTTTATCAAAAAATTTGGCGCACGATAGTAATTTGTATGAAAAATTAACTAATTTTCAATCGCAAATATCTCGCTTCGGGCATATTTGGGCATGTACACATTAATATGGAAGGTTAATTAGACTTTGTTCTTTATATTTAAATAGGTTTGGTAGAAGCGGAAAGACGCGAATTTAACTTATGAGTGTTTAAAGTCTTGGTAAATTTCAAAAAAATTAATCATGTATATTCGCCCAATTAATAGGTTTTCTTTTGGTTTCTTCACACAAACACAAAGTACTAAGCTTAATTAAGCTGGTTATCAGGATTAAAACAAGAAATTTGAAGTGGAAAGGAGAAAAAATTTAAGAAAAATATTTGTTGTCATTTTGTAAACAATTTTATTGGCATCTTAAAATCGAATTTTTGTGAATTAGACAACAAATTGGAATGTGATATTTTTACAGAACATAAAACACATCATGTTCTTTAATCTGGCATTTAAAACATATAGTTTAATTAACTTGTTATTTTTGAATTTTTGAACATTTTTTTCAAATCTGAATCATTGTGCCATCCTTAAACGTAAATGTTCGAAAATTTAAAAAATAACTTTCGGTTAATTTTGTGAATTAACGTCCGATGTTGTTGTAGATGTAGATGATGTTACAATGATTTTAGAAGGTTCCGTTTTAATTGCTGGCAGTGATGAATTTTGTTTCAAAAGATTTAACAGCTCCACATGTGTAGATTTCAAATTTCTATTAGCTGGTATTAAATGGAATATTGGACGAGAAGGATTGTTCGTGTGCCTCATAGCTTTAGGTGGAGATGTTAATGCTGAAGTCAACAAAGATGCTGTTGGTTTCTGCTGTGTAGTTACAGTTGATGCGACTGGAGTGTTGATAAAATTATTTGTGGCAGTTGTTATGAAGAACTGTCTTTTGTATAAATTTTCTGCTTCCGATTCTGTTCTTTTTCTTTTTAATGCTTGATGAAGTAAGCTTGTTCCACTGTCAGTTTCATCATTTGCATCAGAATCTGTTTTAATTGAAGATTTTAATATTGATGGAGTTGTGTCATTAGAGTATTGAGTTCTTGCACAATCTTCTAATAAGTTCCTGCAAATCTTCTTAATCTGCTGTTCCTCAATTTTCTCATCAGTATTTTCTTTGATATTTTCGATAGCTGGTTGGAAAAATTTGTCAACAAAATCCTTCATGATAACATCCACCTGTTTGTTAAAGTAACTCTGAATGCTTAGTCGCAAGATTTCAAGGGAATCAAAACCATTTTTCAATGAACTTTTATGCCGTTTTTTCATCAAATTCAAGACATTCGTAGCTGATTCTGATTTCTATACTTATAAAAATGAATTTATGAGCATAAAGTTCTTAAAGTGTTGATTTCTAACTTACAGAATTAGAGCTTTCTTGTGTCTCAGCTAGCTCTACATTTTCAGATGATTGACATAACTTAGTTTGCACGACCATTGTTGATAAGCAAGACTTATTAGCTTTTATTTAAAATTTTCAAGAAAATTGGTTTTGGTGAAAAAGTCCTTCCTAATATCCTTTTTTTAAGGGATGCAATTTTTCGAAAGGGATATTTTTATACTGTCACGTGTTGCATGATTAACGGAAAGAATTTTTCACAATCGGTCAAATAAATAAAATTTATTTAATATTTTAAAATTAATTAAATACTAAACACATGTGAATTGCTGTCTATAATTAAGGAAGAATCCTCGATTTCCAATATCCGGTGTTTCATTTGCATCTGTTACAACGTTTATTGTAAATGGCTTTATGTTACCTGAAATGGTTTAAACTCAAATATTTTACCAGCATTAAGTTTTAACAGTTTCATACTTAATTTTGGCGCAAAACCTAATCCACAAGATAAATTGCTAGTCATTGCAGTCCATACGCCACCAACTTGTTGCATTTGTCCTGGTATTGTAATATAGTCAGTTGTGCATGCTTGACTTTGTACTGTGGATGTCCCAAGAATATTATAAGCAACAGAAGTCACATCACCAGTCAATGTAAAGGAAAACACATCTGTCGTTGGTAGTGAGTAAATTATTGCACACATTAGAGGATCTTGACGGATACAAATGTTGTAATTAAGATTTGCTATTTGTCTGGAACCAACCACGCCTAATGAATTGAATTGACTTGATACGCTGCTGTCATAATTAAAACTTTGAATATTTCCAGATGTATTGACAAAATATTGCAAGCAATTCAGAGGTGCTGGAATATCAATTAAAAGTAAATTCATAAAATGATCAGACTGTATTACTTACCGCGAAAAACGACATCATGATTGTGTACCAACTTCAATCGTCTAAAATGGTCTATTTTCCTTCTCCGATGCGAGATTTGAATCACACGAATTTTCCATCTTCGTGTGAAAGCATAAGACGAACTAGCAGCGATCTTAATATTCAATGGCAGAAACTTTCCATGATTGCGCTTAAAAAATCTTTTATATTTCGGAATATGTGGAATGTGAATGTAGTAATGCTGTCCGGAAAGATCTCCACAAAGTCTTGGTACATTAAGAGAGTCTGATTCAATTGAGATGTAGTCACGTGTACACAGTCCATCTTATTTGAGTTTGAAGCAGAATTAAAATTATTTTAGGATTAAATGAACAGTCAACTCACCTCCCGTCGGTGGTGCTAGTGAAAAGTATATGAATTCTACTCGTAATTGTGTGACATGATGATGTGATTTCCTTATATAATAATTGCATACAGTTCCATTCCTATAACCATTAGGATAATTAGGATTTGTAAGCATAACAACATCTAGATCTGTAGTATTTCCACAATTTACATATTCGACTGAAATCATATTTTGTGAGTGTGATTCTTTTTAGATATTGATTATCTTACCATAATCTTCCCAATTCTCTAAGTTGTGGCTATGAACAATTTGATTTTCACATTTCCTGATGAAAATTCCAATCAGAAAAATGACTATTAAAAGTTGTCTCATCGTTACTCTGAGGCCCTCAACACTAAACTAAGTAAGATTGGAAAGATGCATCTTAAAATATGGAAAAAGAGAAAAAGGTGCGAGATATCGACGAGAAATTTAAAAAACTTTCACAGCATATGATTAAATAGAAACAAAATTTTGATTGTGTATGTCTTAAAATGTATTTTATTGTCGTCTATTTTCTATTTTCTGGTCATGATTTTGTTGAAACTTAATCTAAGTAAAATTTTAGTTGTACTTGAATCTTGATCAGCGATAGATAGTAACTTTAAACAGGACACATATTTTGGACATAAGTCAAACTCCATCCTCGATTTCCAATATCTGGCGTTTCGTTTGCATCAGTCACAGAATAAATTACAAATGGTCGAATATTACTTGTGGTTGCGGCAAGTCCTAGTCCACAAAATCGATCACTAGGCATAACAATTCCAGCTTGTTGAGCATTTGGAATTACAACAAAATCTGTTGTACAAACTTGACTTTGAACAGCTGCTGTACCTAATACAGCTGGAACTACAGCGCCAACATCTCCAGTTAATGTAAAAGCAAAAATATCAGTTCCAGGCTAGACAAAATATTAAACATGAAAAGATTTATAAATGGATATACATGAAAATACATACTAAAGACCATGTAATTGAGCACATTCCAGGCTGAGTTAAAACACAAGCGCCATATGCCATATTAGCTATTTGTCTTGATCCTTGAACGCCAATGGCATTTAATTGACCACTTCCTGCTGAATTATAATTGAAACTAGAAATTGTATTAGTAGTGTCTGTCCAGTATTGAAGACATCCAAAAGGAGCTCTTGAAGTGGAATCACATCCGATTTGTTGGACATGAAGATGCCAACGACGATTGAATGTGAAGGCAGCAGATGTAGCAACTGTAATAGTGACAGGATTATCTCCAGCAAAATCAACATAAACGTGCTGACCCGAATTTTCACCACAGATTCTAGGTACAGGTGAACTTCCTCCCGTTACAGTGAAATAGTCAAATGAGCACACACCATCTTTATGAGAAATTTGAATTGAGATACTTTAAGGACGTTTAATAATGATAGGATATATACCTCCCGTTGGTGGCGCTAATGACATGTCTAAGAATGAAATCTTTAATTGACACACATCAGTTCCCATCCTTGATACACGAAGATTACATCTTGATCCACCTGGGAATGTCGCTGGATAATTTACATTCACAAAGTACGTATTGTTCGTTTGAGTAAATCCACCACAGGTCTTAATGACTGTAATTTTTTTTAAATCCATAAATCAATTTAAATTTAAATGATTTTGACAATTCTTACGGATGCAACATGATGCTTGCTGTGTATTAGCTTGAGAACATGATGTCGTTCCCGTTAAAGTACCTCCTAAATCATTACACTGTCCTTTAAGCATGCAAGTTCCTGTCAAACTATTAGTTCCAGTACACACATCCTGAGCAAATCTTCCCAACGTATAGAATGGGAAGTCTAATGATCAGAATAAAAAGAATTAGTCCGATAGTAAGTGAAAGGTGAGACAATTTTTCATTATCACAATTTTTACACACTGCTCTACTTAATATCAGCATTTCAGCGAATTTTCTTTCTTCTTCTCCATACATCACTCAAACTTACATTTTGGACTTCTATGACTCACTAACGTAGAATTATTCTCAATTGTATGATTTGAACTTGAAAATTCTGCATGATCAGAACTGTTTAAAGTCAGGCAATGATGTAAATGTAAATTAATTAATATAAGGGATGATAAAGCTATGAACAACTCTCTGACTTTCATTGCTTCTAAAAACTTTTTTTTTCTGATCCACGATTTGCTATCAACGACACTCAAAAAAGAACTGAAGGAAGTTCTGTCTTCTATAAACTTATAAAAATATACCAGAAATAATAATGAAAGAAAATGTACAGTTCTGTCAATAGATGTGGAGAGTAGAAAGTGCTAATTGCAATTCGATTCTCTCACGATTTTTTTTTCATCTTCTTAATTTCTAAGCTATGCATGTTTCATGCAATAGACCAACCTACCTTTTTCTTTACATTGATTATTTAACTTCTCTTGTCAAATATGGTCAAATACCAAAAGTTCTTTTTTTTTGTGTTGCGTCATTCTTGGAATCTTTATGACGCCAACCTTATAAATAAATCATGTTGAACAAACTTTGTGTCATAAAACAGCATATTGAGTAAGGGAACTATTATAAAAAGGTGTTAATTAATTATTGGAATTAATTTTGCGTTCTCATTCCATTTCTCTTTTATTTGATTTAAATTAATCTAAATTTCATATCTGCGTTTTGACATAGAAATGAATGCTTGGATATAGCAACAAGTGAAAAATCGAGATACATATTCAGAGATGCTTATATTTATTTGTATAAGAAATTGACAGTTCAAAAATAAGTTTAATTTTCCATTTCGTTTTCATTTCGGCTACGTCTAATACGTTCTGCGAGCATTTGTCTAGGATTATTTTGGAATTCAGGATCTTTCCATAGTTTTTGCATGTGATCGAATCTGTCTAAAAACTTCTCTGTCTTTTCGTTAATTAAAATTTTCTTCTTCTCAAATCTGTTTTTGGGCTTCCGTACAACATTCTTTTGGTGCTGCATACTAGATGCTTTAGAATTATCTCTTATTGTCATCAACTCGTCGAGTGATGGAAGTGAATCCAAAAGTGGACGTAAATCTCCAATAATGGCAGTCTTTTCACGCTGGTAAAGGAAATAAGCTATTACGTGATATTTTCATTTGAGGATGTATTGGCAGTTCCATAAATGCAGAAAGGATGAAATTGCACCAAAACATCGGATTTACTCACCTTTTTTCTTGCTTTTTCTTCCTCAAACTTTGTCTTAGTACTTTTGATTCCATCGAGTACTTTTTGCTTCTTAATCTTTAATTTCTCCTTTTTACTGATAACTTTCCTATTAATCTTTGATATTGGAGTGGATATTTTCGAAACCTTTTTCACTTTATCCTTTTTTGAAAAGGATTGCTCAAGTTTTGATGATTTCTTAACTGGATTAATCTTCTTAATTTTTCCCATAACTTGCGGCTTATTAAGTCACTCTTTTCAATTATTTTCACGGATTATTATAAGTGAATATTGGAGATATATTAGTAAATTTAATTGCAGAACTGAATGACTGAAAATGTGCCGAAAAAATGTAAACATTAAGGGCACGCAACTAAGATTTTCGAACTTAAAAATTTTGATGAAATATGAATTAAATTAACCATGACAGCTTCTAATGACACTAATTATTTCATATTAAAGGCATCAAAAGTGATTCCCTACAGACCAAAAACCACATCAACTGTTTAAAAAGAAAATGAAAATTCAGAGAAAAGAGAAGCTACGCATCAAAAAATCGTTAAACAAATTCAAAATATAGAGCAGGAAACATACAGCACAGAAATGGATATAGAAAATTACGATCAAGTGGCGAATAAAATACATTACAAGTTACCGAAAGTGAATAAACTCCTGGCAAACTGTGAATTAAACACACAATTAGCAATAGAAGGTATAGAGGAGAAGCTTAATAAGGTATTCAGCATAAACACATCAGATATAATTGTGAAAGGAAGATCCAGAAAATGTCATGACTTGTCAAAAGTATCATCAATGATTAAAAAGCTTAACATCCGTGGAAAGCCAACATCAGATATGCCTAAGAAGAAGGTTCGATCTGGATCTACTAGTTCAATAGGTAATTTACACACAAAAATAATTAATTTTCTTAATAACTCTATGAATTAAATTCAGCATCTGACGACAGTAACAGAGATTATAAAGCAGAAATTCAAAGTCATTTAAAAGATATGAGAAAAATTATCGAAAGCATTCATAAAACAAGTATTAAGGAAGATGACGGGAATTCGGCTTTTGAAACAGTTACAACATCACACAATAACTTTCTACAGTTGGTTTTTGGACTTCAGAAGATTGCAAATGAGATGGCAGTAATTGCTTCAAATGACAGTGTTCCTTCTGATAATCCGTCACTTTCATTCATTGATGATGAGCTTATTGATCAGTTAAAACAGTTAGATAAGGTAAGTTCGTTTATATGATCAAAAATAGAGTAAGCAACTAATACTTTGCATTTTTCCAGTGCCTTAGTGACATGCAAAAACTTTATGAGAACAAAAATCCAGTCACAAATTTGGAAAAGAAACAAAATCTCAAATTAGAATACACATCGATTATTAATAATATATTGGGAACAATCAACAATAATCCTCATTAATATTCATCCAGATATTCAATGTAATTTAAAACAGTATACTAGGTAGTTTAAATAAATTAAGTTAATTTAACTAAAGTAAACGGAGTAATTTTTGAGGGATTCCAAAAATAAAAGAGAGCCCGAATAGTAAAATGATTAAAACTATAACGACACTGCACACAGTCAAAGCAAATTTTCTGGCTTGTGGCATTACGATGTGCTTGAAAGACAGTCCGAGATTTTCATACCAATTGAATGAAGTATCAGGACGGCTAAAATAAAGTGTAATTACCTTTAAGTTAATGATATGCAAATAGATCAATTACTTTGGTGATGACAGCTTGTTTGGTCCTTCTCGTCCTTTTCCAACTGGATTTATTTTAGCTTCTTCTTCTGTCAGGACTTCTAATTCAACATCGACTTTGCCCTAATTTTAAACATTTATTAAAAACTTTCAGGAGCTTTAATAAGACTTGACTTACTGTTAATTTCACAGATTCATTGTCGCGAATTCTGCCATAAACAGGACACCATCCTCGAATACTTCCATTAATTGCAAATAAATTCTGATACTTTGATGTTTTCTTGCCCGAGCATTTTTCAGCAGATGCAGAAAATTCAGGAAAATGCGATAAGTTAATTGAAACAGCACCAAGAAAATCATCTGGCGAGAAAGTATCATTATCCCAAATTTGAAGATTTAAAACAGGTGGGAGCTTAATTTCCGTATCAAATTTCTCGAATGGCTTTTTCTTCTTTATAATTATCATCTATAAAAGATTGATTTAAAATTAATGAGCAACAAGAAATTAATCGTGCCTGATTACCATATCTTCCCCTATTGAATACTTAAAAGGAAAAATCATCCGCCAATTAAAATTCCCTTCACCAGTTAATGAGCGATAATGAACATCCGTGAATTGTGCATTATTAATATTTTCCATCCATCTGCAAAATTTAGACATATTAGAACATCCAATACTTTATTTAAGGCTACAAGAAACTTACCCTTTCACATAGATATCGCTCATATTCTTTCCAAATATATTATTCTCGTCAAGTATAACATCCTTAGTGTTCCAAATGATCACACGAAGTTCATAACGTCTTGGTGGAATCGGAGTTATATCTACAGGCTCAGGAATCGATCTTTTTGGGTCGAAAATTTCAAGCCACATTAAAAGTTTTCCTTGTTCAATTCCAGGTCGATCTTTTCGATATAAAGACCTGCTTTCTACATGTTCAGGAACAAATTTATGTCCAATGCCAGGAATTTTATGAAAATTGTTTAAAACTGTCAGTGCCAATTTTTCTTTTACGTTCTCGTCTGTAGATATTTTACTTGAATCTGAAAATTCCATTCCAGCAATCAACACACGATCTGGGAAATATTCAGGTAATGCTAAATCCCTTTCATTGCAGACTTCTTCTAAAATAACTGAAGGAAGATCTGAGTTTCGCCATGCATTATATCCTTTTGAGACATATTCTTTCTGCAATCCACAAAATGCTTTATATTTACTTCGCAGACGATTCTCAATGTCAATTTTTGTCTTTCCAATCAAGTCATCATTAGACAGAGTGTCACGATCATAAATTGAAATTTTAAGTTCTGTACTTTTTGGTAGAACTCCATTCAGTTGATATCTCTTTCCAAAAATTGGACTAAATTGATTGGGAATATAATGAGCACGATCAGATAAAGCTTGACCACCATATTCAATTTTAATAAATGCATCTGAATGTGATTGTACATCCTGTGAGCGAAGATTTATAGCTTGCACTATATAAACTCGAACAACAATTGGAATTTCAACTAAAAGATTTGACAATCGCTTGAATCTAAATGTCGATGGAACTAGATTCACATTTTCAGTTTGGAAAAACTCTTTGCCTGAACATTTTGCAATTTTTATGGAACATTTCAATGTTGCATACTTTTCACCTGCTAAAGACTTATCAGACAAATCTTCTTTAGCTCGATAAAGATCAATTGGTGTTGCCCAATCACTGAGATACTCAAAGTCAAGCTGCTTTTCAAGTTCACACTTATAAATTTTAAGGTCATGAAGACTTTCATTGTGAAGACTTGCATCGCGGTATGAATTGTAAAATTTTGTCCACCAAGTGTACTGATTCTCAATTAAAATAGTTTTAACCTGCTTGCTTTGGATTGGGAGCATCAAAAACTTTGAGAGATTAAAGTTGTTTAACATTCTCTTGATATACAAAAAGCTTCCTTCAATTTTAGATGAACCAAGTAATGGCACCTTCTCGTCCACTTCTATCATCACATCACTTCCTTCAACTATTGTCTTTGAGTTTGTCGTAGGAATTAAAAATCTTTGAAGTTCCTTTGGTTTATCTTCAACGAAAAATTGTTCAGGTCTTCGAATCATTGCAGCACCAACTGTTGTGGTATTTTTATGTGATATATCAACATGCTGTATTACTATTGGTGGCCAGAATTGAAACTCTTCAGGCAGCAGTAAATATCCAGAAGCATATGGATCAATAAAGTTGAGATTCTTCTTGTATCCTTTAAGTGAAAAGCTGCTCATTAAAGCAAGTTCGCCCATTGATAATTGAATTTTAAAGCGAGCAGAAGTAAAGCTTGAAATTTTTAAGGCATTCCGGATTCCAGCAAAAGTCACTTCAATATGGAATTTTCGTATGTTTGGGCTTATTATTTCAGGAATTGGTTCATTTCTGTCTCTTTCCATAATCGTTAAAGTTGGTCCATAAAGTGGAAGAAGCTCAACTGACATTAATACCTCAGCACTTACTTTTCCATTTTTAAAAAAGCTTATCCATCGTAATTGAGGTGGAAATTGATTGATTAATTGATGAAAAATCTTACGAATACTGATTTTTTCAGGTAAAAGGCTGTCAGGTTTAGCCTTAAGTGATTTATCTTCTGCTTGAATATCATTTGATTTTATTGGTATTTTAATATGAGCGATTCCGATGATATCAGCCTAAAGCATGAGTAATGAAAATGGATTAATGAATTGTCTATAAATGTCTCATCATTCTTCATTTAATTAGTTAACATGCCTTCTTTTTATCTTCATCATACAAATAAGCAACAATCGATGGACAATCTTGATACATGTCATCTCGAATTTCAAAAGTTTTGACATTTTCAAGCACAAGCACTTCATTCCATATAATTGATATCGATTGATTGATGACCTAATGTATATTATGCATATGATTATCAATGTTTTATTTACATTAGCTTATAAAGTCACCTTTGTTCGCTCATACGTTCCATTTGTCATAACCATTAATTTAGGGTCGCAAAGTTCATCCTTACAAATTCCCGGCTGAATTTTTGCCTGATGCACGTACACATTACACTTGTAATATTTTTCAATTGTGAAATTAATTTTATTGGATGACATTTCAATTGCATTTTGCGGGAGCCATTCGTTAAGTTCTTTATCACTGCCAATCCACAAAATGACTTCAAATTTTCCCAACATGCAACCACAGTTTTCACATGAGTGTAGACACGTGGAGGGCTGAAATGAATGATTGAATTTAAATTACCTTGAAAGTTCAAAGCAATCAGTAAATCAATAAGGAACTAAGTACTTACTTTTATTATAATTGATTGCAATTTTCCACAGAATTCTCCTTTAGAATCGAAAGCTTGCGAATGAAAATAGTCCAGCATCGAGAAGCGATGAAATCCTAAAAGTTTGTTGTCTTTTGTGATATTCAGAAACACCTCAGATGGTGACCCGTGGATCTATACAAGAGAAGACTCAAGTTTAATGACTTTTGAACTAACATTTAAAGTCCAAGCTATCATGATTTACATTGATTATTGATGTGGAAATAATGTCTCGAATGTTTATGTAAGCTTCAAATGATGATTTGACACTTTCTTTGTTACTTGGATTGTTCAACGTACGGCTGATCTTGGTTATGCAGTTGTCCTTAAAATATTGAGAAATTCACTAAGTTGATTGATTGTTTTTAAAGTTATGCTGCCTACCAAAATGCTTTGTAGAAATTTCACATAATTTTGATCCCATTCTGTGAATTGCTTAAAAGTTTTGCAATAAATTTTATTCTTCAGTCCTTCCAGCATACTTTTAAGATCATTGTGAAGCATCTTCAAGCATTTCATTTGGTATTCAATATTGTCATAGTATCGAGCTTCAAAAAGCTTATAGTTCCTAATGTGGCTCTCCTGCATTTAAAAAAGAGAATATTTCGAAAATGAACTGAATTGAGAACCTTAACATTTTCTCAAAAGCTCTCACCATTTCTCGTAAAAGCATTCTCAACAAATTTATGGCTTGATTTTTTAAACGATTATCAGGCAGTTTAATACTCATGCTTAATAATGGACGTTCATTTGAGTTAAATGTTGAGTGTCTTAATTTGATTTGTTTATGTCTGTAATCTTTTAAATCAATGTCAACAGAATTTGATGAAATCTCTTCACAATATAATTGAGCTCTAATGCTGCTGTATGAAGCACTAAACGATTCCACATTTACTATTATCATGTTTATTTTAAAGATCTCATCATTCCAAAATTCACTTTCATTAACTGGCATAATAATGTCTTCCTTACTATTCAGTGAGCTTAATGTCATCTTCTCATCAACATCATGAGTCTCAATTGATATCAATAGCTTCCCATAAAAGCTGTTATTATGCACGCCTTCATAAAATGTAACGTGTGATGGTCCAAATGCAGGTTTTGTGTCTTTAAATAAACAAACAGTTTATCAAGAGAATGATTAAATTATTTAAAAATTACTTACATTTGTCACCAACTTTCCATGACATGCCATTGAAGTTTAATTCAACTGAGCATTTAACGCGCCATTGATAGTAATCTTGAACAAGCAACTCAAGAATTATCAGTTGATTAAGTGACTGAAATTTCCCATAGAAAATCATCTGTTCATTCCATACACAGTATTTCGAGTATTTAGACTGGCGCGTTCGAGTCTACAATCAAAGAAATAAATTGAGTTGTTGCCAAGAAAGGTCAGCAAAGAAACATCACATTTTACTTACATGAAATGATCCGAAAGACACTTGAATTATGTAGTCACGCTTTACAATAAAGTTGCCATCAAATATGTTCACCAAATATTTTACATTCACTGGACTAGACTTAGAAGTATCAGGAAGCAATAAATTTCTAAAGAAATTAAAGGACATAAAGTTCAAGGAACTGACATAAATGTTGATTGACTTACTCTTCAATAATATCATCATTGATAGTAGTCAACGTTGCTGGAGTTGGTAATTCAGAGTTGGAAATGATTGCCAAGTCTACTTGTAAGTATCCAACTTCTATATTCTTCTGATCATCACCAATTTTTTCTAGGGCTCCCCATTTCTTAATGAATGCATGATCTGTCAATTTTATACATCATAATTATCTAATATTAAAAATACCGAAAATACTACTTACAGTTTTGTGTCCATATGCTTGATAAATTGATATTCAATTCCCCCACAACAGAAGTTTTCTTCAAAATACTTGATAGCTGAATAACCATCAATCGGATATTCTTTTTTACCAAGTTCTCTAAAGTTGTTTTTATTTCAAACACAAAATACTGGAAATAGATGTAAAGGAACAAATAAAAAATATTCTTTAAGACGATTAAAGGAACATTATGACCGAAAGAAGATACCTCATTGAAAAAAGGACAATCCGAATTATGATATGTTTTGGTTCTTCTCATTTCATTATTAAAAGAAATGGCAACAAACGTGTCTGCATTTAGAGTATTGAGATTCCTAGCTTTATGCACAGTTATTGAGACTAAGAAGTCTCTTTGATGTTTGTTGAGGCACTGATTCAGTTCGAATTCAGACATTTTAAGAATTTTCTTTCTTTTGAATTATTATTTTCTGGAAAAATCAAAGTTCACTTTTATAATATTTTTAAAAATTGAAATTTTCAAATGGAAAATTTCACAGGAAAAATTGCTGCAAAGTTAAAAAGTGAATTTAATCATAACAAAGTCGAACCTAAAAATCGTCACTTCCCAACATTTGAAGAATATGTTTCTAGAGTCAAAAATCATAGTAATGGCTGTCCTTGCTGTAATCACGTTCCAACATCATTCGAATCAAAATCTGATGATCAAAATCTAGTGGAATTCGAAAGGAATCATCAAGAGGTGAGGTTTTAATATATCACAATACATTTGAATGGTTTTCATGCTGCATTGCTGAAACATAAATTTTTAAAAATATAAACAAAACAATACCAAAACATTAGAATGCTGGAAACAATAAAAACTTCATTTTTAATTCTCATGAGAGAAGTTATAGGGTGCATGCTGCTGTTTGACATTTACATTTAACTTGATGTACTTGCCATCCAACAATTTTTCAAAAATTACTCCTTTCGTGATTAGCATTAAGTAATGTTTCAAGAAGCAATAAAATAGCCAGCATATATGATTCACTCTCCACACATGATTCTCTCACTTCGCTCTGTTGTTGCCATTTTACACGTACATGCTGAAGCGTTACATGTATATAGGCAATGTTTGAGAAATGGAGAGAAATTTAGAGTCAGTCGAGTTTTTGCCGTTGGAAAAAGCAGTCGGTTAGAAGAATTCGTGCGCGCGCTTTTAACAATAAAAACAAATTTTAAATTATTTTTTATTATTCGTGAAAAAGTTATAAAGTTTTGTTGTGAAACTTGGTGCATTTAACAAAGGAAGGAATTAGTTTTTTAAAAATTGGAAAAAAAAATCATTTAAAATAACAAAAAGGAAGTTAATAGTTGTGTTTATTGCTATTAAAAAAAAAATATATATACCATAGTGGAAATCTTGTGCAAAAAAATCGCAAAGAGTTAATTTTCAAATGAGATAAATTGCATAATTTTAAAGTTATTCACAACAGTTTAGTGGGTTAGTAGATTTTTTTATTGTTTTTAAAAAATTCATCATTTTATGATAAATTCAGAAATTATAAAAAGGCGCATCTTTTGAGTTGAAAATATTAATATTGCGTCTTAATAACATTCAAAAGTATTCCTTCTTCTTCATCATTCCTCATATTCTTATTTTATGAATATTGCATTGATGTTTAGTCTTTTGGTCTTCAACAACCACACCTTTTTGCAATGCTTATAAAGAAAAGGGAGAGAGATGAACAGTAAGGAATGTGATGAAACAGATGTCGAACAAGTGAAATAAACTTGACATTTGATGAAAATGGGAACAAATTGGGAGAAAAATGTGGGATATCCATTAAGTGTATTATAATTGAAATTCAATGTTCAACAAGTTGTTTAGGAAAATTGCTCACATTTGTTAAATTAAGGTTCATTAGAACCAAAGTAAAACAATCATATTCACACAAAATTTTCAATTTTTGTGAATATTCTTTAAGGAACACTTTCTGTACAGTATTATGAAGAAAAAAAAATCAAAATTAAAGTTTTGATGATATTAAAGTTCTGTCGTCAGAGATGATTCCAAGAAATTTAAAATTTGACATTCGTTTGGTTTCATTTCTTCATCTTAATGAAAACTCTATATAAATATAGGCTGTGAATCCGATTAATTTATGAAAAGAAAAATAAGAATCAACTTTCTCTGTTTATTGCCATTTCATAGTCGATTTGTATAAATTGTTAATTCACGGAGATATTTTTCACATACATGAATTTATAACCAAATGACAACAACCACAACCGACAAAGTTTAAATTTCTTGTCGTCCACAATTTCCACATAAATTATGCATTCCCGTCTGTCTTAATGCTTTTATTTTCTTAATCGATATTTTTTAACTTATCATGTTTTTTGTCATTATTAGTTTTCCTGAATTTCTATATTCGCATCTCAATGTCAAATGCATTCATTGTGAAATAATTGTTTCTTCATACGATAATTGATTTTCTATACAGCAACGATATTCAAGATTATAACCTGTTGCGCTCAAATTTTCACAGTTGTTTGGAATAAATATTTGGAACATATACAAATATAAAGATTTATTAATCAACATTGAAGAGATGAAACTTTCGCTTCAATGAAACACGTGCGCAGAATCTAGCTTTGATTTAATGCCTGTTTAACCAAGTTTTTGCGGTTATCAAATTTCCTGCCACTTCAATTTACATCCGAACTGTCTACAATCATAATCATTTTCCTTTCAATGAGCCACAGGTAGAAAAAAATATTAGATAAAAACATGTTTATGATTTCTGGTACGCGATATAATGCCTAAAGACAATTAATAATATTAATTTCCCGACAAAGAGAAAGACTTTACTCAATAGTTGGACATAAAGATCACTGTATAAGAAATTTTCACCAAATAACTACACGTTCTTCACCTCAGGGCATCAACAGTTGTTACAAAGTAATTTATACTTTAATACACGACTTATTTGTAAATAATGCACTTGAAATATGAAAAAGAAAGAGTCTGAGTAAATTCAAGAAGGCAAAAAATATAATTTTTAATAGACTTGATGATGTACAGATGAATGGATGAGATGGAAACATTAATGGATGACATCTTTTTATGCTAGCTATTAATTATTTATTTCTGAGACCTAATTTTTATGTAAAAGAGTTGTGGGTTTATTCATAGTTGGTGGATAATTGAGCTTTGCAGATGTTGTAACTTTATTAAAATATTGGGAAGCTAGCCGTGGATATCTCGTCCTAGAATTGAATATCGATAAACTGTATTTTGAGATATAAACAAATTTGAGCATAGCCTTAGAAACCTAATTGCATCCAATCTGTTCTTGATCTCAACTCTGTCTACACATCATTTTTGAATGTCTTACTGTCTTGTAGATCGACGAATGATTTATAACATTCAAATGATGCGTTTCTTCTTGATGATTGTCTAGTTTAATTGCTTTTTTTGTATATGCGTAACATGAGAATGTAAATCCAAAGTAATTAAAATTAACGATCAGACTGAAAACATTGTTAAATTGATTGTAAGTGATTGCGCAAGTCGATAACTCAATTAATCCAATAAAAATGTCATTCTCGCCGCTGTCTTCAATACTAAATGGTTAAAAAATGGGACAATTTCCGTAATTAATTTTTTTTCTTCGTTTTCTTTCATGAATTTAAGATCTTTAAACAGCTCGTGGATGGAAAAAGAGAGACAAATAATTATGTAACAATTTCACTTTAAAGAACTTGTTTAGTATTAAATTATTTAATTGGACACTCTCGCTTTTATTTTGCTCTCAATAATGTTTTAATAGTTATAGTCGTTGATCGATTGTTGGGGTGGTTGTAGATAAACCGCTTAAAATGATTCGTAATGAGCCAAGTATAATAATATTATGCGACTCCTTCTGACTTGATCGCTTCTTTTCCTACTTTTATGTAACGTCGTCTCGATTCGCAATTAAAGTTTTGCTTTACTTTACGCCGCTTTTTTTTTTGAAATAATTATGATGAATGACTTTTTCCATGCATGAATTTTGTGTTTGCCTTTTTTTCCATTTGGTCATCATTTTCATGTTTTACTTCTTCATCATAAATGGACCTTGTTAGCAGATGCTTCTGTGAGAGAAGATGAGAAAATAACATTTTAATACAATTTTACGCACATACGAATGAATGATTTGCTTTATAAACTTATAAAGTTTCATGAATAATGATTATGATGATGTAAAAGTGAATTAAAAACTATTATGCGGAAAATTTTCTTCAGCGTAGCTTGATATGCGGGGATTATTCGACTATGACGTCTGACGAATAGGTCTTGAGCTGTCAAACAGAGTTTCCAATTAATTGGATGGAATTATGAAGCAGGCGATCTTAAATTTGTTTTTTGATGGACATCATTCATTGATAGTTCCCATATAAATTTTACTTAATATTTCTTCTTGTACAGACCTTCATATCTTGGGTACTTCAACTTAAAAACAATGATGAACTCAAGTATGAATTTTTGTGATGAGTTGCTTTGTAATTAAATGAATTAATTATGAAGTCTAAGAGGATGAACAATTTTTATTGCATTTTTTAAGACAGAATATTCTATAAAATTCTATGGGTTTGCTTATAATTAGATTTGTGATAGCCAAAACGATGTTTTTTTTCAAGACTAGAAAGCATTAATGTCATAATTTTATTTGACGCATAAATTTGCCGCCATTCATTATTTAAATGCTTTTTCCATAGCATAAAAAATCGTCTTTCCTGTTCTATAAATTTTTAATAAATCAAATTGAGGGAATGGAGTGAATAATGAGTGTGAGACTCAAAATGTTCTAATTATTGAAATTGTACACATAATAATTATTATTTGGTTTATTTCAAACCTTTTATCAACAGCTTACATCAGCTTTTAATGCTATATTATTATATTAAACAGCTTTAATCGTTTTTCTTTGGAGTCTATCAAAAAATGAGGTTGTGGACTACCTATGCCATTGGCGATAGCTGTTTAGGTACCCATGTCAACTGAAGTTAATGGAGTTTCTTATAACTCAAAAACTCGCCATTTCCTGACTTATGGAAGTCGTATTTGAATGATTTCGTCCATAAAATGAGAATCCTCTCACCAATTAAATACCGAACAATGAAATTGAATTAAAATCGATAAGATTCAATGAAATAAATAAAATACAGCATGCATAGTTAGAGAAAGTTTCTTTATTGACAATAAGAACATACTGTGATGCGAATAATGTGGGAAAAGTTTTTTTATGTCCTGCTAAAGAGAAGAAGAACAAGTAGAAAAAGTTTACGATAAAGAATTATTGTGGAAATGCCATTAAGTTGGCATTAAATTCTCAATTTTCCCCATCAAAATCATTGTCATCACCGTAAGCAATTTCAACTTCATTGTTATGGATAGAAGAGCAAAGTATTAAAGACGAGAAGTAAAACAATGCAAAAATAAATTTATTATGCTGTAAATGTTTACTACTTTTGCCGGACAGACGAATGAATGCTTGAGAATGTATAACTTACTTTTTTTATTTATGAGTAAGCGATTGTATATGTTTATTTCCACATCTATTGCTTACTTTTGCTCCTCATACTTTTGCTTATTAGCAATCAAGACACATATTGAATATCGTTTGATTCTTTTTTTTCACCCGGTGAAATTGCCATTTAACGAAAGTTTAGTTTATTTTCCTTGCTGCCATATAGAGATTGTTTATACATGATATATACATGTATTTGCACATTTTGAATCAATCACCACTTCTACTGATGATGATGTGGTGAAAACTTGGCATTGAATCAATTAGTGAAAGAATGAATGATGTTTGCATAGTGAAACGATTAAATCCATAAATCACCGAGCCATCTTGTATATAAATATAGCTACTGCTGAGACGTATAACATTTGTGTAAATAAAATTAATTTGCAGTTTAATGAAGAAGCAGCATAAGAATTATTGCGTGCATTCGAGTTTCACAACTTTTTCTTTCATTTTTATGTTTCTTAAGAATGGAAAGTGAATGATTGTAGTGGCCACAAATGGTAAAGCGTTGAAATTGTATAAAATCTTTTTAAGAATGTGTAAAATGTGTACGAACTTTCTACAGAAGAACTTTAATAGTCATTGGAGAAATATTGGGTTGTACCCTTATGACGTCTTTCAGAAATTTCTTTTACTGCTCAAAACATTTAGCTTCATTGACGATTGTATGATTTAATAAGCTGATAAATTAAATTGCACCCCTAAATGCCAGACATCATGACTGGATGACCCCGAAGGTGATGAAAATAATATAAAAACCATTTCCATATTTACTTATGATTTGAAATTTATTTAATTTTATTTCAATCACATCACATAAGCCTTTCGAAAAGAGAGTTAATCCATGCTGGTTTAAGAAATATCACGACGAGTATTTAATGAATATCTGATTGAAATAGATATTGTATGTTGGTTAACAGTTATGTCTCTCATCCGACTATACATATGATTCTTTTTTTTCGAGTATTTCTTTATTTTTCATATTCGCGGTTTTGTTGTTCCTTTCATCGTCTTTAAGATTTTGCCAGACAGCTTTTGGTGAAGATATTAATGAGACCTCCAATAATTGCGATTGTGTTCGTAATTGGCAAAAAAAAATCTACCTAAATTAAGTGTTTATTAATCGCATGAATCTATTGTTAATCTTTTTAATGGAGATAAAAATTTTCTTCTCACATTAAATTTATTTGAAGGCTACGTACAGTTATGAAAATCTGCTGGAAAAAATAGAATCGACACTCGAAAGTACAATGACTTAAAATTAGAATTAAATTTGCCTTCTTATTCTTTTTTCTCCTTTTCACATGGCGTTAAAATCTTTTTTTTTTCATTGTTTCAGTTCTTTCCAATTCAAGGTTCTTTTCTTTTTTTGTTTTTACCTTGTTTTAATCTTTCAAATAACTGAATTTTTATTTTGCAAGAATTTTTTTTGACATTTAAAAGAATGGAAAGAATATTTAAAGAGAAATATGTGAAGCATAAAGAGGAAGTTTCTGTACATAGAGGTTAAAATACGAAACTTTTACGTCAATTCTTGCTACTTCTTGGTAAAAAAAAATTAATCTTCACTGAAGCAATTATTCTGCAAATCATTTCACTTGCACAAGAAATTAATTCTTTTAAAAATAGCAAAGGTGTGAGTCGACTCTTATAAGTATGAGCAAGTTTATATCCACATTAAATACACAGTTACAGTATAGTAATTGTTTTAATTTTAAAAAAGTACGAAAAGTCTTTTTCTTCGTTCAATTACTCGATTGAGTGAGTCTATTTTATTATTTGTATTTTTCATGCATTGCATTTATGAGATTTGTAACTTGATACACTTGCAATTACAACAATCAATTTTTTTTTTACGATTGGAATTGCTCAAGTGAAATAAATTTAAATTTGTAATTTGCAAATTATCGACTTGCAATTGAATTGGAATCAAATTTGAAAATTCATATCGAACAACTTAATCTTACAAATCATCATTTTCCCCACCCACTCCTTCTTTTTTATGCTACATGCTCTTTCTGCTTAATTACTGAACACATAGAAGACATAATCAGTAATTTTTGTTCTCATGTGGGCAAATTATGCAAATAGTTGCTTTAAAATCTGACTAATTCTATGAATCATATTATGACTTAATAATAACCCAAGTATTTCCGAAATGACACATCTACCAAGGGATTTAGAGAACAAAAATCATAAAAGTGAAATAAGCATAAAACTACTGTAAATTGAACTATTATCATTTTATCTAACATGTTCAAATTTTGTTATGATTGATTCGATTGGCTGTGACTTCATTGAATATATACTTCATTTATATTGTCTACGTGAATGCACAGAATCACGTTGTATGGTGATGATCCCACAATGCCATTGTTCATTGAAGCGACTTTAAAAATGTTAGGCATCGAATGTGAATGTTCAATTTACAACTTCTGAAAGCCACAAGCAAAAAATTTTTCCATAAAAAAAAACTCATAGAAACATGCATTTTTTAATTGCCTATTCTTGCTAGAGTCAAGTAAGGTTAGTTTGCAGTATTTTATAACAATTGACACAATCATGTAGGTGGAATTTAAGATGACTATTAGGAAGGTCTTTATATTTAATATATTTTGTTTTAAATATGAAATGAATAATTGTCATAGCAGGTAAAAAGTAGCATGCAAAAAGGCTCATTTTGATTCCAAAAATAAATCATGAGATTGCATAAAGATTAAAGGCAAATATTTTGCACTGAGCTGCAACATTTAAAATGTCAATATCTGCTATTTAACTCGAAGAAACGATCGTGTTTGAGAAAAAAAAGGTTTCATAATAAGTGGACTAGTGGTCATAAATATCTATTATTATTATTATTTTACTATAGTCATTCAAGTAGATAAGGTTATTATTAGCATATTTACATAAACAAATCATGAGACCGCGAAATATTTTAAAAACATTTTATTTGGAAAAACTTTTACTTTCACTTGCATCATCAGCTGTTCTCCGAATAGTCTTGTTCGTAAAATATTTTTGGGAGTCAAATTTAAATTTCGCTTATTTTTGTGAACGAAATTAAGATGCAAACTTTCTTACACTCTTATCATTAATTATGTAATTTCCTTTGCAGAATTCCTCGACAATACAAAATCACCCAAAGTGTATTCAAGAAACATCAATCAGCACCGCATCATTAGAAAGTAAAAGTACATTAAAAGATTTCATAAGTTCACCGCATGTAATTAAAGAAAAGTCAACGAATAGTAAAGTTAAACATCATTGTTCACGCGAGAAGTCATTATCTAATAATTACCAGGAACTTAAGAACGATAATTGTCAAATAATAAGGCACAGTGAATCACAAAGTTCTGAATCATCTATAATTAAACTAAGAGTTGATTGTGCTGACGGAACGAGTTCAACAGAGAAAAGTTCACATAAATTTGAGCTAACAAAACATCGAAGTAAATCTGAATATTCAAATTGCTCTAGGAAACAAGACTGGGAAGAAATTAATCCGTCAACATCAAGCAATCAAAAGAATGAGCCATCAACTTTAAATAGAACATTACGTAAAGAAGACAAATCAGGAAATAATTTAAAAGAATATTTTTCACCTAAACCACAAAACGATTGTGAAGCTCTAAATAACAATCGAGAGATCTCACTTGCGAAATATTCAGAGTCAAGCCTATTGCATCTAAAACCTCATTCTCCACAACAAGAACTATTTGCTGCAAAACAAGTCGAGTCGAAAAAAAATAGCCGAGTTGTGAGTTCATCATCTAAAAATTGTAGCAAAGCTGTGCTTAAAACTTGTTCGTCAAAAAGTACAAAAGCAACAAAAGCAAACATGGGACAAGGCGATGTCGGATCGTGTTGTGCTAAATATATTTTATGCATGTTTAATTTCGTATTTTTCGTAAGTCCAAATTAAGTTTTAATTAAAATCTGGCAACTAATTGCTCAATAAATTTATTTTCACAGATTCTCGGATCACTCGTGTTGGGGCTCGGCCTATGGCTCCTATTTGATAAAGATTCCATTCTCGCTCTAATGAAAAATGTGAATAGCGAGCATATAGATGTAAGTTCCATTCTTTATTATCTTTTCTGCCCTTTTGCACACCTTTGTTCATTAACATTTTTGATCATGTATGGTTTTCAGCCTGAGTTTTAAAAATTCAAAAGTGGATGACTTTAATCCGTCCAAGAATGTATTACAGTCTTTTAAGCATTAATCGTGTTAAAATGAAAATGAAACTGCTCTAATATAATATTGGAATTTCTCAACTCATAAAATGTTGGAATTTCACTACATGCTTTGAAAATAGATATTAAGTAATTCTATGATTAAAATACCATGTTCATGTGGACTTAGTTTTTTTTCTCCTTTGCAATATGAGAGCATTAGATGTACTTTACAATTCTAAAGCATTTTCCTACCTCATATTATGGAGTTATTATGTTATGTACTCAAAACTATAATTGGAATGCAGAATTATACTTAAAAGATCACAGATTTTATTTATTCATTGTGCGATTGTTGCGCCAATTTATAGTGCTTTCATGACAGTCTATTACTTTGGTTCATTTTTTCATGAATTTTTAAGTCTTTAATAACGAGTATCACACGCCAACGTAAACGAGACATTATAATAAACTTATTAAGTTCCATAAAGATGAAAATACAAACAAATAATTTTTAGGATGTTTGACAATCGTTATGTAAACAAATTTCAAGGCATTGCTTGTTGATGCAAAATATCTTAGGGCGTATTTTGAAGGAAATTTTAGTATTGATCAAAAAGAACGCAAATTGTCATTCATTATTTATGCTTTTCGGCAATACTATGACATAATTAAAGTTGTGCTAATCTTTGCGACAATCAGCATTAAATACAGGTTTCACATCTTCATATCATTATTCATGAAAGTGATAATGACTAGTTTTTTTTTGTTTCTGCTTAACTTTGTCAAGTATTATTAGTGAAAGAAAATGTCAAGAGATGTATCTTGTTTTTAAATGGCAGAGCATCAAACATTAATAAAAAAGCGTGTAATTAGGTATTTGCTGTGCAGGATTAAAACCAAATCTACTCAGATTTGACATATTAATCCATAAAAATGAAAGTCCTCATAAAATTTTTTAATGCAGAAACAGTGTAAGTCAATTTTATAGTACGCTTGGGAATAAACAGAAGCAATTTAAACAATATTCACAAGATCACGTGCTGCCTATAACATCTGTTAATATCTCCCCAAACAGAGAGTTCAGCACATTTTAAATTCTAAAGAGTTCGATTAAATCTGATTTGATTATCTTTTGTTATAGAACCACAGTTTGTATGACATTGTCATTGCGTGGTCGCACCTTCAATTTTCATTGAAACAGCTTTTCTACATTTTAATACTTCACTTCACTCGAGTTGATTTATTTAGAAAGAAATATTTACTCTCGACTCTTTATGTAATTGTAACTGTTTAATGAATTCCGGAAATGTAAATAATGAAAATGAAATTTTTGTTGTGCATTTAAATTAAGTAAGTTTATAAGTTATGTTTCCCATGAATATTGTGTTTAAATGCATGTCAGGTTCCCTATTTTCTAAACATTGACTTTGTTTATTTTAAAATTGACCTTGAATTCCGAACATAAGAATTCCCTTTCTCTTAATGCTGTTCTAGCTGAATTTTTAAGACTATTTATACATTTGCTGTAAATGTTTGCATACCAGTTCATTTTTGCTTACTAGAACTTTATATGTTAAACAATAAACAATGCTCTGCGGCCAAAACTGCTGGCTTTGTCAATTAGAGTAAATGACACATAGCAGTGGGAATATGTGTTAATTGACTGCTATTTTTTTCGTTAATTGCTTTTGAAAACTCCTTCATGCGGCTCAAAACATCAGCTTTTGATTTAAAGACGTCTTTTAATAAGATCAACTTAATTTATTATTTTTTGGAAATAAAAATTTCTTAAGCATTTTATAGAGCAATTAAATCTAACATGTGTGATGCAAAAACTTGAAATTTATCATCTCTAAAGTCGCTATTTAAAAAGTGAGCGATGGATGACCCAGAAAATTGACCTCTCAGTATAACAAGAAAAAGTATCATAAAATGTTATGTCTTCTCTGAAGTTGACGCTGTCACTTGAATCTAAATTTAACTTGGGGGTTCGTTAATAAGTAATGTCAATCGTGTTGTTGTTTTTCAGAGTATGTTACTAAATTGCTGTCACAAGTTTTGATTACATGAAATTGGTATGGAAAAAGACAAATCATTGTTGAACGAACCCTAAAACTTCTTTTTTTCTGAATTCATTCCACGAATAAAAATAAAAAGATTGAAGACGTTTGATTAGTCATCGCAATGTTTACAGTCTCGCGGGCATGAAATCGAATCAGATTATTCATGCAATACTTACAAATGACGATCTTCTCTATTATTTTATTGAGGATAAAACAATTGAAAAAAGTTCTGAAATATTTATTTTTATACTCATTGGGGCTTCATTAAAATTCTGTTTTTCATCATTTCTTTACTTAGTTCAAAATTCCTTTGCAATTAAAAAATATCATTCTGATTCTCTCAGATATGCGTGAGCGTTCTCTTTGTCTGATGAAATTTTAATTAAATAAAATAATTCCATGTATCTAAATCGAGAAACAAACGAAACAAAATTCTAAGTCTGTAAATGGATTCTAAATGTTAATTAGAGATTTTTGAATGAAATGATGGAGATTAAAGCATGTCGTGTTGAGAGAATGTAACATAAAGTAAAATGATTACAACTACATGAAAAATTAATGAGTTTGACTGAAAAATAAAAAAAATATTTGAAGTCATTGACATCTTTAATTTCTGAAACAGCTCATTAGACTTTTAAATTTAAATTATAAGCTATGATTTTCATGGAGCATGTAAAGTCAAGTTAGAAAAGCAATTTAATTTATTTCAAACTTTATCCTTCAAATTAATTTTTCAAAAATCATTTGGTTAAATTGAACAAAATTCAAGCTACAATATCAACATTAATCAATAAATTAAACTATTGTTGAATGTGCAATAATAATCCTATCCAATTTCAAATAATAGTTTCTTTACCAGATACAATAATCTTTAATTTTTGGCTTGCTATAGAAAAGATATATCATAAAAGTTTCACATAATAAAACTTTTCGGGGTTTATTCTCAAATGTTGTCAACCAATTATTGTGATTTCATTTTAATAATGATCATAAGGATCGACTTGTAGACTATCAAACTTACCTCCCTTTGCTTTACATCACTATTAAATGATTTTTTAATACAATTTCAAACGAAACAACACAAAAGTCTATTAGAAAGTCAATAGTGCCACTTTATGTGACCAACCATTATCAAGGTTTACTTTATGTTCATTTTTATAGATATTATTGCTGCTAATAGTAAACTTTTAACATTTTTTCAAAGTGCAACTTCGTTTTTGTCTTTTGTCTTTCTCTTTCTTTCAATACCTTACATAAAGTAAATTGCAATTGATCGTTAAAAGACAGCAGTAGAAAATTACTCACGAAAAAAAAAGTCGTAACATTTAAGGTAAAGAAATTATGCATCCGTGCTTTGAAAATTTACAATTTTCTCTTCTTCATTGACTTTCTTCATACTTTGCAAACTTGGTTTTGTTTTTGAGCTTGAAATAGACAAAAAATGGCAAAGAAGAAGCCATTCCAAAAGTGTCTATTTCTGTTTACACAATCATGTAAATTGAATTGACATTATCATAAAAAAAACCAATAAGAAATGTGCAAAATAGTGGCAATTGATTAAGAATAAATTGATGGCTAAAGTGAAAGGAGTTCAATGACATGTAATATGCGTTTCAATGATTATTGCAATGAATAAATTGCTTTATTATGAAAATTTTAGCAAATCTTGCAAACAAATATCACATGACATAATCGAGAGCTGTTGTTATGTGACCAATTTTGGAGATTTTGAATTTTTGCTGTATAATCAACTTGCTTGCTTTATATTAGGTCATAAAATAGGGGGTCAGTGAGGTTGAACTGAGATCAACCTTATTTTCTGATGGTTATTTCTTTATTTTTTGGATGTTCCAAATATTCTTGAAAAAATAACTTAAACATGTTGCTGCTCACTTAATCAAATTTAAGGAGCGGAACATACACAAAGAATCTACTTTGAGACGAAAAATAGGAGGTATTCATAAAATTGAAAGACTAATAAATAATAATTAAATTAATTAGAATTCTGAAATAATTTACAAGCAAAGGCAGTATAAATATTTAATATCACCATGGTGATGCAGTAAAGAGACGCGTTCTTGCTTAATTATGGTTTATTGAATTAACTGAATGATATAAAAAATGGAAATGACTGAAGGGGAAGCCAAGCCAATGTGCGACAAATTTTTGTGACCTATTTTTATCTTCAATGTATTTGATACTTTATGCTCAAACCATTCGAGTGAGTCATTTGAATAAATAATTTTGATATCCATTCCATGCTGACCGTTTTAAAACTTCGTCTGCTACAACTTTGTTGATTGATTTTCATTTTTCCAATTTTCCCTTTTTTATAAAGCTTGAAATAAAAAAACAACTCATGACTACTCATCATTAGGCTTCGGACGGTTTTTCCACTTATCATTGATTGAAAAGTTCTTTCACCTTTCCTTTATTATTCCCATGTGAGGAATTCCCTACTTTCATTCATGCACATGTTCATAAAAGGAACGAAAGGGGATTGAAATGAAAATTTTATTTCGCGGTCTATTCTACTGGCTACTAACATCGAACAAATACATAATATGAGCTATATGTTTATTCACGTATGCATCGCAAACATTCACTATGTGGATGGTGTTTTCATTTTTTATGGCATGCACTGATCAATCTAAAAAGTATACTCAAAATAGGGTAAAGAATCAGGACAATGAATACTTAATTATTGATGAAAAATGGAAAATGAAAAATGGCGTGAAAATAATTTTTTTAAAATTCAATTATTTTGTTCTATTTCCAGAGATTTACAGAGCCACAGCTGGTCGATCAAACAGTTTATATTTTCATTGTCATCGGATCATTAATGTTTGTGCTTGGATTTTTAGGCTATTGTGGTGCTTTGAGAGAAAGTCAGTGTCTTTTGTCATTGGTAAGTGTCAAAAAGTGCTTTATTCTAATTTATTGAAAAATGAATTACTCGATCTGACATTGAGTCCCATCAGATTACAATTTTATGGACCATGACATTTTTGTCACATTGTTACAGTGCATGAGCTGTAAGCTATGACACTTTTATGTTTGTTATCGTCGTTATACATTACTTCATCTATCGTCAATCTTGTCATCATGAAATGCTCATCCAAACAAAGAGAAATGAAATATGTCAGTAATGTGAAACAATAGTGACGGTAGCAAATTGAATAAGTCATGAAATATATTTTTTAAAACAAAGAATCTTGGAAATAATAGTAAATTGAATCTGTATAATTTGTTACTTCTACCTTTTCTTATAGAGGTGTTTTTGGGAGTTTAGAGTCATTCGACTACATACTTTAAGAATACCTCAATATGCCTCTATTATTGTATTATAACAAATGGTTCTTTTGCCGTTTTCTTCAGGAATTTAGTTTACTTTTCGCACATAAATTCGTGATTGTTTAATTTTGCTCTATTGCTACCGTTAGAATAACAAAATTTGTTTTATTTTTGACAACTCCTACACGCTTAGATTGCGGTATGTTTTTTAGAATTGAACGACTTAAAATTGCTAATTTAATTTCCGCTGGATTTCTTTATTTTATTATTTTTTCTTTCTACCTTTTCAATTTTTATTCTCATTCTAATTACAGTATGGAGTTTGCTTAATTATTCTTCTCGTACTTGAAATTGTCCTCTTTGTTTTTGCAGTCGCTTATCAGGATGTGGTAAGTTGGAATTGTTCAATTTATGATTCAATTATATTTTCTTTTCTAATAGTTTAAAAGCTATTTTGAAATTATGATTAGCATTTCCTTTTCCTTTCGGATTATTCACTTATGACGTTAATCAATGGCTAAGCTAGTCTAGTCTGGATTGGTTGATAGACGTCATTTTTAACTCAACCACAATTTTATTTTAATGATTAAATCTCTTTGAACTGTTAACTTTTATTCTAAGGTGAAAGATGAGACAGAGAGCTTCTTAAAGACTACAATAAAGGAATACAAATCAAGTGGTAAAGAGAAAGATGGAGTTACATTGATGTGGAATCAATTGATGGCACAATTTAAATGTTGTGGTGTGAATAGTTATGCTGATTTCGAGACATCACCTTTTTGGCTTACCAATCGAGGATCTAGAAATGTACCGGAAGCTTGTTGTCATCTCTCCGACAAAGCATTAATTACACCTTCAGACTTAAACTGTCCATACAGTCCATCCGATGAGAATAGTTATTATATGAAGGTTAGATTATTTGTAAATTTTATTGATTTCTACAAAAGTTTGTCAAGGGCGATGCGTCAAACAATTATGAATATTGAGAACTTGTAAACACATGTAGAGCTACACTAGAATCAACATTATTTATGAATTCAATTAATTATAAATTTCATTTGTACAGGGATGTCAAACGGCATTGATTGATTATTTGAGAGCGAACTGTAATACAATAATTGGAATTACGGGTGGATTAATTCTCGTACAACTACTTGCTGCATTCCTCGCATTTTGCATATGTAAGTGCATCTCATCATATCGATCAAGTAGTCGATTGTAAATTTTATGGATTGTTAATTCATCTAAAACATCATCGTCATCAACTTTATGTATAGTTTATAGATTCTATCATCCGCTATCATCTATGTATTTCCTCTTATTTTATTTTCTACATACACATCTTTCTCATGTCAACTTCACTTGCTGTATACAAACTGTCTATATCAATATTTTTTAATATCGTGGCATCGACAATATAATGCACTAAGATATCAAGTCATACAATTCAATTCAATCCTTTTCACATACATATACACCCAGTTTTTTGTTCCTGTTTTATTTTTCATGGTGTTTGTTGTGTGCTTATAAACTGAATAATTTGGTTTTTGGTGATAATTCTAAATTTTGTAATATTCATAATCTCAATTTTTCTTGTTCTCATTTTTGCAGCATAAATTTTTGTACCTGTGCAACGGATTGAATTGTTCATGAATTATACAAAATATAGTAGAAATATATAAAAATTCAGTCACAATATACACTATCGTTTTTTACAATAATTAATAATTATGATTTAATTTGACTGATAAATAAATAAAAATTTCTGTGGTCCAATAATAAATGTTCATTCATCCCATTTTAAAATAAAAAAAAAAATTGTTAATCCAAAACTTTTACCATTAAAATTATATATACACATAGAGATGGTTCATAAAACAAAATCAAAGATAAGCGAGTTTCTTCTTTTCCTTAGGGGCTGTTCACTTATTACGTAACGCGAAAAAATGACTTTTTAGACCCCCCCCCCTCGTAACAAAATTTGTATGAAAAAAAAATTTCCTTGTTTGAACCGTAACAAAATCTTAGACCCCCCTCCCCTCCTAAAAGCGTTACGTAATAAGTGAATGGCCCCTTATAGATTTTGTTATATAATTTTTTAAAAATTATGTAAGGACATAAAAGTTTGCTTTTGAATGCATCTTCATTTTGAGATGAAGAGTTTCGCACAAATGTTTTGAAAAGCTTTACTGACTATTGAATTGATATGCAGTAAATTTATTTGAACTTTAAAAAGGTTAAGTTGATTGGAAACTTTTCAATAATTCATGTTTGGCGGCATTATTATTATATTCTGCCTGAATTTGATTTCAAAATCCAAACCTAGTCGCAAAATTTGTAAATGATTCAGAACATAACATCCTTTCAATGGCTTAAGTCAAATTTATGAATTACTTTTGAATAGTTTGTGAGATACTAGAAGTAAGTGCATAAAGTTCCAATCAAGGTTGACCTTTATATTTTAAAGATTTTAGAGCTTTTTTAAATTTGTTATAAATGTTTACTTTTTGTATGAAATCGAAGTAATTTATCATAAGAATAAGTTTAAAATAATAGATAATAGATTTACACAAAATGACAAATATAATCTCATCATAAAGAAAATAAACTCAATGTATTTGTTGTCTCTGCTTTGCTGAGCTCGTAAATATACAATTTAGATGTTTAATTTGTAACAAAAAGTTTTGATTTATTTTTGGAAATAAATGAGAGATAAGAGAAAGAATCATTAAATTGTAAGTTGCTTCATTAAGATAAAATATTGCATCATTAAAAGAAAACGAAATTCTCTTTTTAATTTTTGTATGAATTGTTTAAAAAAGATAAAATAAAGTCAACAAAATTATGTGAAAAAGAAAAAATTTTTTGTTCTCATTTGGGAGTTGTTTAACTATGATGTCTAACTTTCAGGTGACAGAAAAGAATCATAAATTGTGTGAATTTCGTCGAAAAAAAAAACCGGAAGAAAAATATCACAATTTATAAAAGTCATCATTGATGAACGACTCTTTTCCAAATCCTTTCACTATAGTTTCCCTTTCAGACTCTTGCTGACTATAATTTATGTAGTGTTGTATAATAATCATGTCGAGCTGTCAGTATACATCAATTCTGATTTATCATTCATTCCACAAGTGAATCTAAAGCGTGACGTGTGAAATTATGTGAGTACATTTACTCCTGTTTTTATCAACATATGCCTTCCTTTCAGTTCCTCGTTCTACTTTTTGTTCCCTTTCATCATAATAAAGAATGCATGGAATGTATGCCGCAAAAAAATTAAATTACATCAACCTCAAATAACAAACGGTATCCATACAGGCATTTCAAAAAGGCTCAACAGAGAAAATAGGGTCGTTGAACTTATTGACTTTTGTCAAACACATGATTTAGCCGAGATGAGTGTTGAGCAAGCAGTGTTGTAAATTTACAGTATTCTCAAACAAAAAGTGAGCTTGTAAAAAATTTTATGCCACAAGATATGAATAAAAGATTAAAAAGTGTCAAAAGAAATTTCATTTTTTTTATCAAGTTACAACATTAAGTATGCAACTTATGTTATCTGTCTCATTATGAAAGAGTTTTACATTCGTGTTTATTAATGAAAAGAGAAAGAGCTTTAAGTCCATATAGCTTCGTATGAGTAGTACAATATTTACACAATAAAAACGAAATGTAATTAAAAGTCATTTGAAGTTGGATTAAGTTGATGATGATAATCGAGAAACTTTCCTTATTCATGATAGTTTTTGTATATTATTTAAACATTAAAGATAGATGCTAAAATAAACGATTAAGCTCAGTAAATCAATTTAGTACACCTGTATGATACAATATTATCACCATTGTTGTCAGCATCTGCTTAGTTTTATAAGTTAAATGAGATGGAAAGCATTGAACAATGTGCTTAGAAAAATGGATCAAAACAATTGTCAAACATTGAGGATGCAAGGAATCGAAACATTCAACAATAAAACATTGAAGCATATCAAATGTTTTAATTTTGAATAAAATTTCAACAGCTTAATTTGAGATCTTTAAATGCTGAACATTTACAAATATTTAGAGAAAAAAGAAAAATCATAGCTAATTACACAAATGATGTTTATCTAAAAATTATAAAGATAAATTGCTTGTTTTAGAAGAAAAAAAAATTTAGAAAACTTCTGGGTCAGTTTTGGGATCACTTTTAGATTATTTATTAAGGATAATCGTTATTAAATTCAATTAGCAACACAGCTGTTCATATCAGACTTTGACTTGGATAATTAGACACTTGATTCTCAACAGTCAATTAGTTCCTGTTATTAATGAATTAAAATTTAAAAATGTTTACTCTAAAATCAGCTGTAATTAAGTAAGCAAAGATTATGATATGATATTATTGACAGCATATCCAATGAATAAAGATAGTGCGAAACCTAATATTTATTTGTTGAATTGTCTACGCATCTTTCGTAACCGCGAAAGGATGAGTTTGCGTTTAGACTTACAAAAACTTTATTTCGTGTGTCAAATTGTGTCTATTCAGTTGGCATTTTGCATCCCACGAAGAAGCATACAGTCTAGGTCGATGAACGAAAAAGTCAGATCCTGATAAGATAGGTAATCAAATCAAGTTCATAAAATTTCTATAAAGTAGTTTCCATTATTAGTCAATTATAGAAAAGTGTGTCTCATGACTGTTTGCTAAAAGCATTAGTTTATTATCTGTCGACTGCTAATCCACAACACGGGGTAATATTTTATGATGCAATATTGAGGACTTTTGGACGATATTTTTCTTCATTGGTTCTTAATAAAAAAAAGGTAAGATCTCATTTATTAGAAAATGTAATCAATTTTCATCATTGATTGCTTGCTTGTGGACCAATATATCTGGTTTCGTCATCAATGGCTTCTCTATTTACTACAATATAACACAAAACTGTCATCCTTTCGCACGCACATAGTATTTATTTGTTTGATTACATTAATGTCATTTCCATACAGCTACATAAAATAGCAAACTATATCAAAGGATGTGTGAAATATTGAGAGAAGCAACACAAGTAATAGCCGTGCACATTCATTCAAATAATATTGCTTGGGTAACGAGGAAAGTCAGTCATCGACTATCCATTGAGGGAATAAGACTCAAAAACTAATCTCGTGTTCTCAGTGAAAGTTAGTAATGATAATTGGTTTTGATTATTATCTAATCATAATTGTTGATAACAAAGGTGTGTGTGGATTATTACATAAAAATTCTTCTCTTCCGTATTTAATTTGTTTTAAAGGTTGAGAAAATACTGGAATAAAATTAATTACATTTCATTAATTATGGTCAGATTCGCTAGTTCTATTTTTTTATTTGAATTATGACATGAAACATATGGATCTTTATAAAATTAAAGAATATTAGTGCTTTGAATATTCTGAATAAATTATGTCTATAAATCGCTGATATATTTTTATGTAATGTGTGAAATATTTTTCGTGACTATGAAAATTAATGAATCTATAAATCTACATAATTTAGGTGTAAAAAATTATTTTGGCAAGGGATCATTCACTTATTACACTCAGACATACCCTCAGGCTATCTGGGATTTTATGACAATTTTATTGTTAAAAATCATTACGTAGCTAGTGAACGATCCCAACAATTCTTGTGAAAAACCCTCAATTTTTCATCAAAATAAATAAATTCACCTGAATTCTAAATTTATTTCATTTCATTGATGAAAAATTGGTTCTTAATGGAACTGTAAAAATGAGTAGGCATCCGAGAAATTTAATAGCCAACCCATTCATACTAATCGAAAAATTGATATTTGTGTCATAAAATTTCCTTTTTTTATTTCCATGAAGCAAGCATTTACACTTAGGTTGATAAGAATGTTTTAAAAGTGAAAATAGCTTGTTACTATGCAAATTTAGTGAAAAAATCTACAACACTAATTATTTAAATTGTCTTAAAGGAATTACTCTGTTTTGAAATAATTAACAATATGCCTACGACGATACTCTTACCAACTCAAAAAATGGTGAGACCAAAGAATTCAAGTTTTAGAGAAAAGGAAATGGACAATGGAAGTGACAGTGAAACAAACACTTTTCTCGGATCTAATAGGTGGAAGGTGAGTGACTTTTTAAGGACTTAAAGTTAAATTATAATAGAAGTGACCTCCGAGGATTAAACCCATTGCGTTAATTATAATCATTTCTATAAAAATCATTAATAAACATAATTTTCACATTTTTGGATATACTATAAATAATTTCCCATGACATTGTTCAACTCCAATAATGAAGCTTAGTCATGCTGACAGATTGAAGTATTTTTCAGAGGGCGAAGTCGACTCGAAATTTGTATGAAGTCGAGTGAACTCAAGTCGACTTTTCCATACAAAATCCGAGTCGACTTCGCCCTCTGGTATTTTTGCCTCATCAAAACATTTCATTTCATTGTGTACTTATACATAGATGACTTAATTTACTTTAAGGCTTCATCAGAATTGAGCAGCATTCATATTGTCTCTCTGTCGTCACCAAGATATATAGATGTGCTCATACAAAAATATCGCAGTTTTTAAACGTCAAAAATTTGAATTTTCTAAAAACACTAACACTATAAAAGAAAATTTTCAATTTTTGTTTTGCAAAATTTTCAACTTTCTGTTAAGTTTTGTTGATACAGGAGTACTGCAAATGCTTTGCTATAATTTAAAGTAACTGACTTAAGTCAAATGTTGTTGCATCTGTCGATATTTAAATGAAAACTTGAAAATAGAAAATTTTAAAAATTTTTGTTTGTATAAGTACACAAAAAATAGTATGGTCGAGTATGGTCAAGTATACTCTGTATGAGCCCATCTATATATCTTGGTCGTCACTATTGTTTCCTACTCGAAACACACCCATTTTCATTTTGTTTTCCTTAAATGTTATATCGGAAACAGTTTTATTATTTTCTACATTTACTTATCTCAATTAATGGTATTAATTTAATTGTCTGTTAATCCTCTCGCAATATAACACGTGAAACTTTCTTCATGCCGTCTGTTCACTTTTTTTGTGAAAAAATCAACCATCAGTCTTGGATATTGAGTCGAATTGGCCGGAGTAATGCGATAGATTCTGATGAAAGTATTGATATGAAAGCTTCTAGTCGTCCCAATGAGTTGCAGGCAATTTTAGTAAAAGAAAAGGAGAAAGAGAGTGATGTTTGCCTGTTGGTTGATTCACCATATAGAATACTGAGGGTGAGTTTTAGCATAAAATCGATTAATGTGTAATATTTGTTGTTTGTTCATGTTTAAATTGTGCTTTTGTCCCATTATTTAATGGTCAATAAGTTTTAACAGTTTCAAAAAAGTTACTTTATTTTTAATTGCTATAATTCCTATTTTCAAGCTATAAATCCTGATTCTGGTTACAAATATACTAAATAGAGATTCACTTTTTTGGATATTTTATGCAAAAATTCTATACTTACATTAAATTGCTTATACAATAAGTTCAGGAAATAAAGTCTCATGCTTTCTGTGAAGGAACAAATGAATTTTAAAGATGTTCTATAAAATACAGTATTTCATTTTTTGATTGTCTTTATGATTTCTGATGAGCTGAACATCTTGTAAACTTCGCAAAACACAGTGCCATAATTAAAATCACGTGCCATATAATGTGAAGGATATAAAAGCCTCATTCAACAAGTGATTTTTACTATCGCATAGACATAGACATTATGAGAGAATCCTTGCAACTTTACTCTTCATTTAAAAGCTTTCTCGAAAGCTCGTGATAATTCTCTTCGTGACTCTCTTTATTAATAATTTTAATTTGCCATCAATTAATTATTTTTACACAACCGCTTGATTGTTAAAAAGTGATCAATATGCTATTGTGTGTTGTTTTATTCTCAACGGAGAGGTTTTATTCTCAACAGAAGTTACATGACTAAACAACATTGTTGTTCGAATATTTCGAAAATGAGATGATTGAAATGTATAAAAGGAGGAAGTGTAGCTTTACAATTTTCAGTCGTCCTTTGGAAATTGCCGTGATTATTCTGAAGTGGAAGTGATAAGAAAAGAAGCTTTAAGTGATAACTTTTAAAAGGCATTTGGTAGTGGCTTTGAAAAATATTTTTTAATGAAAGACTTATAAAAAAAAAAATAAAGGAACATAATTTGTGCTAATGATCAAAAATAAAACTACATACCTTGACCAATAATTCAAATTATCCAAAAACCTTTAAAAAAAAAATCAAGTGATTGTGAAGAGTCTTGATAGAAATAATCAGTGCTGTGAAAGGATTAATAACTTTAGGGCAATGTGATTGCATAAAGCATAAAATCAAGCTGTGGAAATTAACTTTTTAAAATGAGTGACTCTAATGTTGAGAAATCAGGTTACGACCGTAAATATTGAGATTATCCTGAATAAATCAAATATCCTTATAATTTTGAATCCGTTAGTTTATTTTTGGAAGAAAGTGTATAATTTATGTACTTGCACTAGAAAGTTAAGAGAAAGTTTTTGAGATGATAATTCACAATCCCTATTATTAAATTATTTGTTCCTTTGAATCTTCAAGAATTAATAAAGTATGAACGTTTATTCAGCAGAGGAGATGTATTCAAAGATATCAAAAATTATTGACGATAAGAAAAGTGGTCTAAAGGCAAATCGAATTGCCATAAAACCATTAGCACTTCCAAGAAATTGGACTAAAGTTCTTCGACTCGGTCCGGCTAGCAAAATGTCAATCGAAGAAATTTTTGAGGTGATAACATCTAAAACTAATGTGAAGAAAAAAAAAAGTTTTGAATGGAATTTTGTTTGCTAGAATGTTCTATGTTGATAAAAGTCTACAATTTGCAACACAGTAATCAGCAAAAGGACGAAAATAATACTTTGATTGCATTGCGTTAGATAATGTATTATTTATGATATTTATGTATCCTGTCAAAAAAATGTATTTTTGTCGAAGTATTTTGATATTAAATTCCAATGCTAGCAAACAGAAATTTTTGAGTTCTTATTATTCGAACTTCGAATTTTCGAGGTTCTTATTTTTCGAAAATCGAATCTTCGAAGTTCTTATTTTTAAAAAAATTCGTTGTGAATTATTATTTTTCGAGTAATTTGTAATTTTAGTGAACATTCTTACTAGTTTTTATGATTAAGATAATCACTGTGATGAAATTGCTTTCCTTAAATGTTTATGCTTTAAAAAACACCTAGTTTAAAAAAAAATAAAAAGTAACAGACTTTCTTATTTTGAAATTTTAAAAAAATACCGCGCGAAAATTTTGAATTTTTTTTGTTTGTAACGGACTCTGTTCTCTTTGCTAACATTGGATTAAATTATGATGACAATTTGAAGTCCTACGAAACTTCTTATTTATAATCTTCGTCAAACAGTTCATAAGGTCATATAAAACTTAAAGCTTTAATACAATGTTTGACTTTTACAAGTTTTTTTTAACCATTTAAAAACTACTCTATGAGATCTTAAAAGTCAATTTTAATGATAAGACACGAAATCATCTTGACGACATCCAAAAATGATTTCCTTTTCCACATAAGTTCTCTTACAAATTTATTAAAGAATTTCTGAGAATACCTACTAAATTAAATTACTTCTTGTTTTCTCTATAAAGTGCTTCAACAATACTAAGTGACAGGCACAACAAATTTATTCAAAAATATTACTACAGGGATGTAGCCTCGCCCTCTTTTACTTTTTCGTAGTTGAAGTTCATAATTGAAATAAAAAAAAAAAAAAAAAAAAAAAAAAAAAAAAAAAAAAAAAACCTTTACCTATTCAGATCAATTGTGATCCAGAGGTGCGCTAGGGCGATTCGCAGCTAATGAGAGTTTAACGAGTGAGGATGCGCCAAACCACTGCACTCAAACCTAGACCTACAATTTATAGTGGGATCCGAACCACTCCTTTGATGACATTTCTGTCTGTAGCCTACAAAGGAAGGCTGTGAGCCTCATTTCCAGTACATATGATTCGAAAAAGAACAAGTGAAAAATTTCCCATACCCAGTCTCGAACCCATGATCGCTGTGTCGGTATTGCAATAATTAGGAACCGAAGTACTAAACCATTCCGCCACCGAGCCACTTCAGCTCACCATAATTGAAATGGTTTTGCTTTAATTTTCTTATTTTGGAATCAACATGAATCAATTTTCCATCCCAAAATTATATTCTGACTACAACCCTGACATTTAGTTGATGTCAAAAACCGTTGAAGCACTAGTCACAAATTGAATTTCGCTGTGATTTTTAATTTTCTTAGAAATAACTTCTGTAAGTTTTTGAGTAAAGATGTTTAAAAATATTTCAATTGCAGGCTTTAACTTAATGTGTCGTATTTTAATTAAATTTTCAAATCAGAACAAGTGTCGTTTCGTAATTAATTTCTATTGAACATTTTTTCTTGATTTCAATGCATGTTGTAAGATTTTTCTTTAGTTTATTTGATAGAAAGTGAATGTGCTGATAATAACTTGTGTATAAATGCCTGTCAAACAAAATAGTGAACCGACTATTCTTGCTTTATTAATGCAATGTCCTAAGTTATGTTTAGCAAACATGTCAACTATTTTATTCTTTGCAAACTCCTTTAATCAATGTGAAGTAATTAAGGAGTTATTAAATGTTATTAATAATTAAATATACTTTCATCAAATATGACTTAAGGCTGCTGAACGAGGAAATTTGGACGAATTTGTACGTTTGTATCAATTTGACAACTCAAGATTGACCGTTAAAGATGGTCGTGGTCGTTCAGTCGCTCATCAAGCAGCAGCAAAAAATAGAAAAAATATTTTGGTTTATATCCATGAGATGCATGGAGATCTCAATTGCCAAGACAACACAGGCTCGACACCATTACATTTTGCAGTAGAAAACGAATCGTTTGATGCTATTGAATTTTTATTACAAGTGTAAGATACATTTTTAGACTCAGACTTTAATGGCATCGATTTTAATTCAATTTACTTCCACTTTCTTCTTCATTTAATGCATTCTCTTTGCGACACAGTCCTGTCAAGACAAACATTCTAAACGATAGAAAATTCTCGCCTCTACATCTCGCGACATTGTTGAATAAAGTTAATGTCCTCAAAGTTATGGCAAAGCATCGCGATATATTTGACATTCAACAAGGAGGAGAACATGGCAGAACAGCCTTACATCTTGCTGCTATTCAAGATCATGAGGAATGTGCCAGAATATTGGTAAGAAATGAGTCGTAGATGTTATCAGATATCCTTAATATATTTATGTTATTTTGCTATTAATTTTTGATTCTTGACTTTCATTAGATTACCGAATTTGGAGCATCACCTAGATCAGCATGCAATTTAGGTAAGATATTTTTTGTAAAAAGAAGTATTAATAATTATGATTTTGTGATTAAAATATCAAATTTCCAATCTTTAGGCTATTATCCGATACATGAAGCTGCGAAAAATGCTAGCAGCAAGACAATGGAAGTTTTCCTTCAGGTATAATTTCACTTAAAATATTAATTATTTTTCCAATTAATCACATCTAATTGTCTATTCTTATCTTGCTGCATGATCTTTTAAAACCGATAAAATAATATACATTACATATAAAGTGGGGGGAATCAAAAGGATGTACAAGAGAAGAAATGATTTCATTTTACGATTCTGAAGGAAATTTACCACTTCACTCTGCCGTCCATGGAGGTGATATAAAAGCTGTTGAATTATGTTTGAAATCAGGTGCTAAGATTTCAACACAACAGCATGACCTTTCTACACCAGTTCATCTTGCTTGGTACGATAAATTATTTATCTTCTGCAATGTTTAATTTTATCACTTCCTTTCTATCATGCTTAACAGTGCTCAAGGCGCATTAGAGATTGTCGAATTGATGTTTAAAATGCAACCACAGGAGAAGAAGACTAGTTTATTGTGTACGGATATACAGAAAATGACTCCATTACATTGTGCTTCAATGTTTGATCATCCGCCACTTGTTGAGTTTCTAGTTAATGAAGGAGCAGATGTAAATGCTCAAGGTGTGGCTTGTTGAAGAAAAAAAATTTAAACAATTTAATGCAAAACTTTTTTAATTTAGACAAAGAAAATCGCTCAGCAATATTATTGGCAGCATCACGTTCTGGTTGGCGAACTGTTCATGTTTTAATCCGATTAGGAGCAGATATTCATATTAAGGATGTAAACCAACGAAATTTGCTTCATTCAATCATTCTCAATGGTGGACGATTGGAAGAGTTTGCTGACGAAATCAACAAGCATTCTGAGTGCAGTTGGAGTGAATTCTTAAATGAAAAGGATATATCAGGATGTTCCCCTCTACATTATGCATCGCGTGAGGGTCATATAAGGTCTCTGGAGAATCTGATTCGAATGGGCGCATGTATTAACTTGAAAAATAATAACAATGAATCCCCACTACACTTTGCTGCACGTTATGGTCGATATAATACTGTTAAACAACTTCTTGACTCGGAAAAAGGAACATTTATTATCAATGAATCGGATGGAGAAGGATTGACACCTTTACATATTGCTTCCCAACAAGGGCATACACGTGTTGTTCAATTGCTTTTAAATCGTGGCGCACTTTTACATCGTGATCATAAGTACGCATTCTAACATGATTCAATCTATTTTTATGCAATTTCAAACTTTTTTTGAAATTTTTCTAGTGGACGTAATCCATTGCATTTAGCTGCAATGAATAATTACACGCAGACAGTTGAGCTACTACACTCAGTACATAGTCATTTATTAGATCAAGTTGATAAAGATGGGGTGAGTAAATGATTTTGTCCTTAATATTCTTTTTTCCTCGTGTCGTTTATTAATTAAAAAAATAACTTCAGCTTGTTACATACGGAGCTTTTTTTTTATTTAATTCCAAAACATTATTGGTTTCTTATTGTGAATTAACTAAATAATTAACTGAGTTTGTTACTTAACGCACAGAATACAGCACTTCATTTGGCAACAATGGAAAATAAGCAAAATGCTGTAAATTTACTATTGACGATTGGATGTAAACTTTCATACAACAATATGGATTTGTCAGCTATAGATTATGCAATTCATTATAAATATCCTGAAGCAGCAGTAGCGATGGTCACTCATGAAGGACGTGGAAATGAAGTGATGAGTCTAAAAAGTGGTAAACATCCGTGTGTAACCTTAGCTCTAATTGCATCGATGCCAAAAGTTTTTGAGGCTGTTCAAGATAAATGCATTACTAAAGCTAACTGCAAGAAGGATTCAAAGTCATTTTATGTGAGTCCTGCATCCTTTATTAGACAATTATTAAATATTTATAAAATAATTTTAAAATCAATTCCTTTGATTCCTTAACTGACTTTACCATACAGATAAGATACTCGTTTAGTTGCTTTCTCTGCCCACAATATTACACACAAGTGGATGAGAAAACTGGAAATGCTCTTAACATTTCCGAACCAATTCCATTGCCAGCGATGAATGTAAGCTGACATGCAATCTTAGCAATTTATCTTCAAATCTGTTCTCTGTTATTGTTACATAGTTATATAGAAATAGGATAATGACAATTCAAAACTAGACTTTGATTTTGTTATTAAGTGTTAAATGTTGCATCTCTTGAAATTTGAATGATTAGTCAATTTATTTATTTATTTTGGAATGACTTTATTAGATACACATAGATAGTTCATTTATTTTTTAAATTACATTTTTCATTTCCTTTAGATTAAATATTCATTTGATGTATATCAAAAGTCAAAGGAAAAGATCGGATTCATAAGAGAATCAATGAATGATCCGAACTGGTTACCTCCTCCTTTGCAAGTTTGTAATGTGAGTTTTTTGTTCATGCTGTATTGAATGTTTGTTAAATCTTATTAATGCTTATAAAATTTAACTTAAATATCCTTAATTAATAATTAGAGTCTCCTGGCAGAAAGTATAATGAAATCAAATAATACTCCATCCTCCTCACCTCTTCCTCTTTGCCCATCATCTTCTAAGGGGCCGTTCACCTATGACGTCCAGGGGAGGGGGGGGGGGTCAGACAGAAAAGAACAATAGAAATTCCTGGAAATCCATTGTTCGTTTTTGAAAAATGACCGTTAATTTCTGACGTCATAATTGAACGGCCCCTAAGCATATTTACTGAGAATTTTATGAATTTTTATCATCAATGCATGTTTTATATTACAAAGTATTGAATCAAAATCTTAAACTTTACGTGCATGTACTCTTCTTTGAATAGGAAAGTGTTTTATGTCTTTTTATTGTCTGCATCCTCTTATGAATAAAATTTATACATCAAACAATAAATAAGAAACAAAATTAAATTTTCTTTCACGTCTTCTGTATCAATCTACGAAAATTTGCCTCAAACCAATAGGCTATGGTACAACATGGAAGAGTTGAGCTTCTGGCACATCCATTGAGCCAAAAATACCTTCAGATGAAATGGAATAGCTATGGAAAATACATTCATATTGCGAATCTACTAATCTACAGTATTTATTTGACTTTTACTACGATGTATTCCTCGCTTTTGATGAAAAACGAATCGACACGAGTATGTAGCATAAGGAATGTGATAAGATGATTATTTCCAATTTACATATTTACTATTTTCAGATTTCTACGTTCGTCGATAATGATGTTAATGGAACTGACGGAGTACATAATTTAACAAAGTCTGATGACGAAGAACATTACAAAAGAGTAGAAGTTAACTCAGGAATGTTCATATCTGGAGCTGTAGTCTTCACATATGTCCTTGCATGTTCAATTAGAGAAATTATACAACTAAGCCAAAAACGTTATCATTATCTATTTGAGCCAGTAAATTTTGTGTCATGGCTACTTTACATTAACACAATTATCATGATCTCTCCAATATTCACTAATGGCTATGTTTGCGACTTCTTATATGCATCTGCATCATTTACCATCTTTTTATCGTGGTTTAATCTTTTACTACATCTACAACGATTTGATCAGATTGGAATTTATGTTGTCATGTTTTTGGAAATATTACAAACGCTAATTAAAGTCCTGATGGTATTCTCGATACTTATAATTGCTTTTGGACTTGCATTCTTTATACTCCTATCAAACATTGAAAATCCACAAGCAAATCATTTGTCATTTCAAACCATTCCAATGTCTTTAATGAGATCATTTTCCATGATGCTTGGAGAAATGGATTTTGTTGGGACATTTATTCAGCCATTCCATATGAAACATCTACCTTATCCTTATGCTTCATTCGCTATTTTATGTAAGTTAATTATTTTTATTGGAACAAAAGAATATAAATAAGTAAGGATTCTTAATGCAATTTCAGTCTTATTCATGATTTTGATGCCAATCCTTTTGATGAACTTACTGATTGGTTTGGCTGTCGGTGATATTGAAAGTGTGAAGAGAAATGCACAATTAAAACGTTTAGCAATGCAGGTGAGAAATTACTATTTATGCAATGAATTGAATCTTATGCAGCTGCTGCGTAGACAAAAACGTAAATAAATAAATATTAAATTCAATCAATTTAATTATAGGTGGTGTTACATACAGAACTTGAAAGGAAGTTACCTAAAGTGTGGTTGGAAAAGGTTGATAAAACAGAACTAATTGAATATCCAAATGAGGTGAGTAGAAAGTGATGCACGATTTATATAATTAGAATAACAAACTCATACTTTGTATTTAAAATAGGCAAAATGTAAAGTGACGATGCTTGACTCAATTCTTCGAAAATGGTTCTGCAACCCATTTAATGAGTCGGAAAACTGTAAGTAGCTTATTTGTTTTGTATTTTATTTCCATAAATTTCTAAGTATAATCATAAAATTGTAAAGCTGGCCTAGAATTTGTCTTAGACAACACATGTGAAGATTATGTAATGGCAGAGATTGAAAAACAAAAGCATAAATTGAAAGATTTGACTAAAATGATGGAACAACAACATCAACTTCTTAGATTAATTGTTCAAGTAAGTTGAATGGACTGAAGTTCGTCAATAATTCTTCTTATTACATTCGTTTATAAAATAGCACATAGACTCATAGCACATAGTTCATAAGAAGGAGTGACTAGTGTAATTTTGTGAAAATTATTTTATTTTTCTCAATTTTTTCATATTCTTGTCTTATTTCTCATTGCTTAGAAAATGGAAATAAAATCAGAAGCTGATGATGTTGATGAAGGAGTTTCATTAAGAGAAGCTCGTCCTTTATCAGCTATTTCGAATGAAAATCAATCCAAATGGACCTCACCTAGGATAAGAAAGAAATTGAGGACACTTAAAAGCTTTAGCAAGAGTATTTCTCCGTAAACAACGAATTTTTGTAACTCTATAACTTCTTTACGCTCTTCAAACTTTATACTTATAATAAGACTTAATAGTTGTTTGAATTTTAATTGAAAAAATATTTAAGTGTGAATTTTAAAATAACGAATATAGTAACTGATTTTTTTATGGTATTAGAATTTATGTCAATTGTGTTGAAGCTGTCTATATCTTAAAATGTTAAAAACCAATCATGTCACAGAACTCTTAAAATTAAATCCTTAATTTTCACAAAATACAACTTTTAAGGATCCGAATATGTTCAGAAGCCATCATAATGAAGGTCTTTCCTTTTTGTCAATTTGTTATGATTCTTTATCCTTTTATGAATCTGAAATAAATTGGTAAAGATCAAATTGTAAGTAAATGTCAATGAACTTATGTTACTAAAACCAAATGTATGTTGCAAATTTTATGTGAATTAAATAAATTGAAAATTTGTGTTTAAGCACATAATTAATTAATTTATTGATTAGATTTTCAGAAAATTAAAGAAAAACTTTTTATGAATGTAAAGAAAATCTAGCAAAAAATTTCCCATACCTCATGTATTACTTTTTAATAAGTGTTAAATTTGAATTTTAATATTTTATCTAAGAAGACATAAATAATAGATTTTAAAGTTTCAGCATTAATAACTTCAAACTCTACCTGTGAAGTCAATATAACATATGAAAACAGATGCAGACAAATGCCGGCATGTAAAAAAATGACGCTTAACTGTATGGAAACTTTTCGCATCTTTGAACTACCTAACACAAACGTATTTAAAGAAGAAGCAGACAGAGGCATTATTCATCATTCATCAGAAGTTTCTCGTTGCAAACGCTTCGACGTGTGAAGTGAAAAATTTCAAATTAATTTATCTATACAATTTCAACATTTTAATCCTTAATGTAAGTAAAATTTTGTTCCAAAAACATTTATTTGCTAAAATTGAATTAAAATTCGATGGGGAATAGTCAAAAAATCAGTAAAAATCTTTTTCGGGTCATTCAATCAGGTCATTTGAAGAAAAAATTTGAAATGGCTTCGTCTCTTAATATTAACAGAAATTATTACTAATTGAAAGAAAATTATTTTTCATTAGTATTGGAACTAGATAAAATCAATAATATACATTCATAGATGCATTTCTATTGAATTTAAAGATTTTAAAATTTTCAAAATGGCAATGGCAAAGAAAAAAGTTTCCCTCAGATTTGGTAAAAAGTACAGCCTGTTCAAAAAAAAATTTTTTAGGGTGATTCACCTCTTTCTTCCTTTCCTTTCTCCATTCTTTCGTACACTTGTTTCTTAAATAAATACACAAGTTTCACACACAAAGCTACATTTACAGCTGCATTTATTTACAGTTTTCTGCTTGTTAGTAAATCAATAGATGAATTGAGATTTTACTTTTTGCACGTATCCCATTTTTCTCATTTTTTTTTCTTTCTTCTTTTTAGTTCCGTAAAGAGAAAAAATCAATACTTTGAACAAAGAAACATGGCTTTCCGTAATAATCGTCGAAACAATCAAGGGGGAAATTTCAATAACAACTACGGTGGTTCCATTAGCCGTGGAAATGTAAATCCATGGAACAATAACATGGATAACGGTCCAAACCGTGGAGGTGGAAATCAAAATGAAGTTGTTGGTGCATTGTTGAATATGTTCCGTAATCAAGGAAATATCCCATCTCTTATTGAAAACATGGGTAACGGATTCAATCGTGGAAATCAAGGTGGAGGAGGAGGTGGGGGTGGATTCAATGACAACTTCCATGTAAGTACAAGACTTGATAACCCATATAACGTACGGTATAGAAAAAATCTAACATGATTGAGCATTAACTTCGTTGAGAGACTTTAATCACTTCTTACTAAGTCCTAAAGTATCAAATGCTTAGGAATAAAAAATTTCAAGAATTTTTAAATTCTATATGCAGTTAATTAGTAGAGAAGTATTTAGATCTTAGCTAATGTAAAATGTTACTTACTTTATTTATTATTTAAATTATTACTTAATTATTAAAAAAATTATGCACATTACATAAAAATAATGTGCATTAAATTTCAATATTAATCAAATGTGAAAATTGAAACCTTTCTAATTTAAGTCAATCAAATTGTTTCTTCTTTCTTCTTTTCTTCAATTTTATGTCAAAATGAAAAATGAATATGAATTCTGAAATTTCATGAACATTCATACATATGCATATCCCTGTGCATTCAAACATGTGTGTGTTTAAAATGGCAATGCCTTGCCAATAAAAAAAATGCCTGAAATTCTGAAAATTATGACTTCTGTCGCTGATGATCACGTTCTGTTTCACGTCCTGTGCCACTCAACCTACTTCGGTAAAATTTATTGGATATATTTGATTTCCGTGCGAAATTGTTCATCGTTCTGCCGCACACCGTCAATCTTAAACCTTAATAAAATCTTTTCTACACGATTCTTTGCGATAACCAATTATTCTCACCTTAGCGAGGCGGTGGTGGTCGCAATATGTCCAATAATCGTCGAAATAATAATAATAATAATAACAATAATAATCGTGTAGTCAAAGGTGCTATTCGAAAACCGAATGTGGCTAATCGTAAAGCGATGGCCAATAATAATAAAAAGAATTCCAATAATTCTAAGCAAAATGATTCGGCGACTGATTCTACAACCAATACCAAAAACACTAATGATGCGAGGTAAGCCTGATCAAATAATTTTCCAAAAAAAAAAAAACATTTTCTAAAATTCAAAAAAAATATATAAAAATGTATTTTCTAATTTATTTTATATATATTCACAAATGCTGTATATTTCAAGTCGCAAATAACCGCATATACATACATACATAGATATATATATTTGTTGTTGTATTTTCATTTAATTTCCTCCTTTAAAAAAAGCAAAACAAAATTCATATATATTTATTATGTATAGTGTACTTCCTATCATGATGATATACATAAAAATGATCCTTTATTGTCTTTATGCTTACAATATATATTTATTGTAATTTATTCAAAATTTGAACATCAAAGAAATGAACAAAATTTGGGGAAAAATCTTTCATTCAGAAATCTTTCATTCCTCACAATTTTGTAAATCTATTTTTTCTTATTCCCTGCGATGACCTTTTGTATTGTTCAGGTTTTGTTAGAGATAGATATTCTCTTTTTTTCATATACTTAACTACTATATTTCTTTAGTTTAATATTTATTTGTATGATTACCTTCTATTTTAAGTATTATTTTTCTACATTTCGATTCTCGGTTATTATTGCTCGAGCAGCATAAGTCAATACTGTTCGGGATTAAAAATTAATTAGTTTCATTGAGAATAATTTTTTTTTATTGCAATAATAACGAAAATCGAATCGGAAAAATATTCTAATTCTATTATAAATATCATAATTTTTTTTTTCTTAACATGCTGACTGCATTGAGTTTCAATAACACAAATTTGACGCCTGCTAATTAATTTCTATAATTTTTTTTATTGATATATTTTCTTAAAAATTATATCAAAAATCAATAGAAACGGAAAGGACGTAAAAGGTGACATCAATGAGAAGGAACCAAAGCGTAAGAATTCTCCCTATTCGGATGTTCCCAATGACATGTTTTATTGTCATTTGTGCGCAAAGCATATGTGGGATTCTACATCATTTGAGAATCACTTGAAAGGAAGAACTCATCAAGTAAGTTATTAAGAATAATTGGCATTTGATAATGAAATTTTAACAAATTTCTATTAAAATCGTAGATGATGAAGGAAGGAGTTGAGGAATCTTATCATCTCAAGGCTAATATGCTTCGTCAAGAGGCAAAGATTGCCGAACAATTGAAGTCTATTGAAATTGATCGTTTGAAACGTCTTGGCAAACAAATTCGTGCTGCTAATCAAGTACGCGAATATTGTGCAATGTGTGACTTGAGCTTCTATGGACATCTATCAACTCATCGTAAAACTGATGGGCATTTGGATCTTAAGAAATTTTTGCATCCAAAATGTGATGATTGCAATGCCGAGTTCCATAATCGTGCTGAATATGATGACCATTTATTGTCACCACAGCATATGAAGACATGCAAGACTCCACCATCATACAAGTCTGAAGAAAGTCGTAGAAATCGTTTGCAGATTTTGACTGAAGCTGATGAAGTTCAAGGATTACGTGAAGAGAAACCTAAGAAGGAGAAAAAAGAAGTTAAAGAAGGTGAAACAGCCGAGGCAGCTGATGGTGAAAAGAAGGAAGAAAATGGTGAACCAATGGAAACTGAGGCAACTGAAGAGGATGGAAAGGCTGAAGAAGAAGCTGAAGATGCCGAAGCAGCTGATAAGCCAGAAATCGAGCCAATTTTGGACTTTAAGGATGGTGATGAAATCGGTCCAGAAATTGAGACTAAGATTCCAAAATACAACTGCAAGCGTCAAGTTGGCTTCAGTTTGATTTCAAAATTGATTTGCTTTGAATGTCGTTTATGTAACAAGTACTTTGACACCGAAGGCACAGCTGAAGTTCATTCACGTACATTCAATCATCATCGTCTTTTTGTTAAATTCCTCAACGAGAAGGCAAACGAGACTAAAATCGCTCAAAAACGTGCTGCTGCTGCTGCTGCCGAAGAAAATGAACGTCAAAAGAGAATCAAATTAGAGAGTGAGACTGAAGCAACTACAGAAGTAGTTGCAAAGCCATCGGATGAATTATACGATCCAACTGAAGCCACAGCAGATGATGATACAAAAGAGGAAATTACTGATGAAGTAATGAAACCAGTTGCTGAAACTGTTGTGGAAAAGGAACCTACACCTGTTGAGGCACCAAAGGTTGAAGAAAAAAAACCCGAACCAGTTGCAGAGCCTGTAAAAGAGGAAGTAGCAACTCCAGTTGTTACCCCCGCAACCCCATCAACACCTGTTGCTACACCAACACCAGTAACACCAGCTACACCCACAGTAACTCCAGTTGAAAAACAACCTGAAACTCCAAAAGCCAATGAACAACCTCAACAGCAAAATACACCCAAATCACAGAATAATACTCCAAACAAGAATTTCAACAACAATAATCGTGGTGGACGTGGAGGACGTAATAATAACAATCAACGTCGCTCAGGACGATATGGTGGTCGTTTTTAAATTCTGATTGCCTAAAACTTTATCGAATTTAAGAGCAAGCTTCCTCATAATTAGTAAATGATTTTTTTTTAAAAAAAGGACAACTGAATCTAATTTAAATATGCGTGTGTTTATCAAGAAAAAAATATTTCAATTAATTCATACAATAGTAATTACTGTATAAGTGTATTTAAGCTTATCATGAAATTCAATCATGAAGTTTGTCCACATAATTTTAGAAAATTACTCGACTTACATGATTATCATTAAAGAGATTTTCAATGAATGAAATTAAACTCACTAAATTAATATCTTATTCTCTATTACTTACTATATCAATTTTCATACTATTTAAATATTCTTTTCTTTCAACATTACGATATTCCACGATGAACTTACTATTAATTATGAAAGGGAAGAGAAAATGTGCAGTAAATTATAATTTTTAAGCGTATAAGGAAAAACAAAAACAAAAGTGAAATATTCATCAATTTTGATGGATATAGCACACTTATTAATATGTCTTGCAATTAAATAGAAGAAATTAGCTCATGATTAAGTAACAGTACAGATCAATTTTATTTCATTTTGTCTTTCCAGTAATTTGTAATTCTCAAGATACAACTCACATTTTTGAGTACAATCGAAGTGAATAAAGTAATTTTATGAACTTAGTATATGCTGTCTTTAAACATGTTTTTTGATTTTAAATTTCAGCATTTACTTTACTGATAATGAAGCTCCTGTCCCATTGACATGAATGATAAAAAAAATTTGTTAAAACTTTTCCACCAACAATATTGACAATGGAAAATTTTTATAGCTCATGATAAATATTAAGTAATGGTAAGAATATCTTGATGCATATCAGTGAGATTAAAATTTCTTGGATTAATTTATCATTACAAAACCTTCGATATCTCAGCGCCTTAATATTTTTGTATTTACACATTGTATTTTGGAATCAACATTACGATTTGAAATCATTTTAAAATATGATCCATTTCTTATTACTAGACGTTAGTTGTGAACAATCAACCATAGTTAAGGAGGAAGTGAAAATTTATTTGTAAATATATTTTAATGATTTGCTAATTATAGTTCCAAGAATTCTATTTTTAGAATGGCTAATTTGAATCTCATTAATTTATTTTGAAGAGATTTTCTTTTAGATCTGTTGATAACCGCTTCCAATTATCATGTACTTGTAAAATCATTCACAAAATTTGCTGCCGATTGGATTTAAATAAATTCATTGTTAAAATTCATGGAAATTTTGTGAGAATGTGACTAAAGCATTTAAGTAGTGTAAGAACTAATTTAAAATAATTAATAGTTTCTGAAGGACAAGATTTTCAAGTCAATTATAAATTCATCAAGAGAATTCGATGAGATTCATGTATCGAATGTAAATAGAAAATCGTTTCCACGAGTCCTGCAAATGCTCACAATTTATAAAGATAAAATCGAAAGCCTTCAGTTGGCGACATTGGAGTTAAGCAAATCGGAACTCATCAATCTTCTTAACGAATTGAGGTGTCTTAATGAAATCGTAATAAAAAGTATAAAGATAAGAAGTTTAGATAATAGGGACGATGATACGAGGATTTAAAAAACGAGCAGCAGAACTAAATCCATTGAAATTAAAACGAGCGTCAAGAATGTATTTATAGATCAACATTGCGATAGAAACATTTTATCAATACTTATTGATCTTCGTCCTGATAGTATCGGAAAGTTAGTTCTTAGATTCCAAACCAACGATATGGAAACATTACAAACATTTCTATGCAAACAGAATCAATTGAAGTAATTCTCAATCTATGAAAATTTCATTCAATTAATTTAAATTTCTCATTTACATCAAACGCATTTAACAATTGAAGCACGCAAAGTCACAATCGAAACAATCCAATCTCAACGGCAATCGCTCAAATATCTGTGCATAATGAATTTTCCACTCAATGAAGATGATATCTATGAAGAAATTTGTAATTTGATGATTTTGAAGGTGTTAAAAATTCATATAGGAACTATTTCAATTGATAAAATTCAATGTGTAGCGAGGTTGAGGCAACTAGAAGAAATAACGATAAAAAACGCTGCAAAGTCCGATGAAGAAGGTCAATTAACAATTTTTTGCTCATTTAGTTTCTCATTATTATCTAAATTTGTGTTGCATGCACCAAATTTGAATGTTAGTAAAGTCCTATTTACAAATTCTTATAATGACTTTATAAAACCAATTTAATTAACAGCTAAACATACATTTGAATCATCCTAGATTAAATCTAGTTCTATATCTGGTTTCATTTTAACAAAATTTAAAATTATGATTCATTGTGATTACATTTTATCACTTAATAATAGCTAATATTTGCTTTTACATGACGACAAGAGCTATTGTTGTAAAAATAATAATTATAGTAATAAAGTTGATAACTCCAAATTTTATTCTGATGTTTTGATTCTATGAAGATGAGCCATCATTCAACTATTTGCTCATTTTATCGTCAAGTTCACATAGTCTAATAAAAAAATTGCTCTATTTACAATTCATAAATATTAATTTCTTTTTATAAGCACAAAAAAGTAGAAGAAAATATCTTAAGAATGTTACGGAATACAAAGACAGACGCGTTATCAAACACAAGGAAAATTTCTAGTCATCGTCTCTTTCTTCACTTCTTAATCTTTTCACTGATATTTTTTTTATACTTTAAATAATCTTGTTTGTGTTTTCCACACATCACTATAGTATAAGTGGAAACGCTATGCTACAAATTAAACCTCGTGTTGGTTGAAGAGTTTTCATATGATAAAAGAGAAACCACGTGAATTGACGTATATTTTTACGTCATTCTATCCTATCGATGTTCATGCGCTATCAATCATATTTCACCGTGATACTTTTATTTCAATTTGTTGTTATGTGAGTGGATCAGACACAATGCATTTTTAACAATGCATCGCTAAAAACTGTTATGCAAATTTTTACTATTTTTTAAAATTTCATTCATAATTTTTTTTTAAAAAAAAACTTTTTATTAATATCGAGATGCCAGAAAAAGGTAAGATATTGAGAAGAATTGTCAAGCTATGTATGGTCCAATTGTGCAAGAACCTGGCCATGGTGGTCTAAAGATTAGAAAAATTTATTTTTTTAAATGAGATTGCAATTCACGTTATTGAAGGAACCACTGGACCCTGTATTTTTATGGTAAAGCTCCCCTCTGCCTAAAGTAAAACACATTGTTGCTCTTCTCTTACTTCACTGTTGGATATGTCAACTTACTGCAATATTGACAGCAATTCAATTTTGAAGGAGGATATTAAGCAATAAGTCATAAAATAACGAGATTGAACAAGATTCACAGAAACAAGAAGAACCTGATACAATAAATTAATTCGATTTTAATTTTCGTTGAGCTTTGAAAACAAACTTATCGATATCGTTTCATCAATATTGTAAGCTCGATTATAAATCATTTTTTTTCGAATTGAAATACCCAATACAAGTCAATTAAAAGTCAAACAATATAAAATATGATACTACAACGCAACCTTACTACATAGTATGTGTCGATAAAAAAAAATACGAGAATTGCTTTTTCAGAGTTTCTTTAATTCATTAGCGCCTTTCATTATAATAGCAGTTGCTGACTGTAAGAGCGAAGAAGAATTGCCTTATCAAATATTTCCATTCTCCGTATCTAAACAATTTTCAGCCTTTTTCTTTTGTCACATACATATGTAATTATTTCAAAAGATACATTTTATATCAAATGTGTCAGATGAAAATCTTAATGAGTACAAAAAAGTTGATAATGCAATGACACATTACCTTTAAGCAAGCGCATTTCTTATTCGTAATTATTTTTAACTTCAAGTACTTTACAATAGGAAATTATCTGAATTATAGCCCAAGCTCAATTATGATAAGTTAAAGTTTGATGAGATTTTCTTCTCCGACATTGACCAAAATTAAAATTCTGTGGATTTTTTCTCAAAAATGATGCTAAACTTTTGGTATGCCTTTATCGAGCGATGGTAATGAATTTTTTGGTTGGTGAAAATTTAAAATACGTGTATGTCTCATTAAACGTCTCGAGATAACTCACAATTCAAACAAGAAATAAGCGTTTTGATGATGAAGAAGAAAATTAGTTTCTAGTCACTATCTTACATCGTCTCCTTGCCCATCAGCAATATTGTGTCACAAAATGTGAATTATTTTTTTTTTCATTTAAGTTGATGGCTAGAGATAAATGATAAGATAATAGAAACATTTTTTTATATTATCTAACTGTCTCTCCTATCTCCTTTAAGTTTTGTATTAATTTATAACTTTACAGACAGATTTATTTACTTACTGGCTTTAAAAGGTGGGTTAGTGTTGTTTATGATTTTTGCTCGATATAAATTTTGTTTACTTGTTTTTTTGGATTCCAATTTTTTCACGTTCTACCAAAAATTGTATTTGTTTGCCTGCCCAATAATATAAATATTTTGCATCCACAATTAGTACAAAGTGATTAATGATTCTGCTTCGAGAATTCTAGTAAAGCTTGATTCCAAGGAATTATAAGTTAATAGCTTTAAAACCATGAAATTTTCGTAATGAGAATCTCGAGACATGCTGCTTGGCTTAAAATGTCATCAACTTTTTAATTACTGCTTGCATTTGAATAATTTTAAAACTCAATAATACGTATCATTTAAACTAAATGATTTAGTCAACTGCTTCATTTAACTATCATACATCTAATTAATGTTCATAACATTTATTATACTAATTAAGTTTGTCAACCATTCAATTTTAAAAAAATATTTTAAATGCCAATTCAAAGCAATATCAAGGGGTGGATGGTGGTCCGAATGTGTCTTTAAAGAATCGTAACCGTTCTTTTCAACTAAATAATTACAAAATACCATTTAGCACCATTGTCATGATTTAGCTTTTGATATAATTTGGTTACTGGAAATTCTTGGGTTGTTTATTTGCGTTTGCTGGCTGACGTACATTTGTTCAACAACATGTTTGACCAATCAATAAAATTCATGTCTGCAAATATTGATTTTTGCGATTTTCACATGTGAGATGCATTTCAAGCTGTTGCTAATTAATTGTCATAAAGATTTTGCACTGTAAACATGTCGATAATTGATTTCTCCATTTAACTAGATTAAAGTACATAAAATGTGGCATTAGATCAATAGACATCTACTTTTACTTTTTAAGATGTCATGAATTGTCTACTTGTTTTCATACGCTTATAGTAAGCGATAATGTATCGCGACAAAGGGGGTGTAATAATTTTTATATGAAATATAAACACATAATTGCAAATGGGTGATAAAATTACGTAGAGTCTGTAACAACAATAGTAAAAAAAAATCTCTATTTATCTTAAAAATGAAGACATGAACGATAAGAAAGAAATAAAAACAAACATTGCATAGTTACAGCTGCAATGAAGATACTAAGGAACGAGATTTATAACTCAAGATGAGAACATGAAAATTTTGACAGCGCTAAATGTGTTACAAGTATTTATCAGTTTCATCATCTCATTCAACTTCAATGGGCAATTGCAATAATTAATTAATAATTGATAAAGGCTTACATAATAACTTCGTCTTAAAATGGGGGAGTACAAAAAAAGTCAATCGGAAA